GTCGCCTGTAAAGGGAGCGCCTGTCTCTTTCTGTTTTACATCTACTCCTCCTTTTTCTTAGAGGAATAAGCCTTGTGCATACATCGAGTGCTACCGAGTTAATCTGTTCTAGGCATAAGTTGGGGTCTGTGTTGCTTAGTATATCTTCCCAGCTTATATCGGTTAGGACTTGGTTTACTTGGTCCCACTTTATGTTTTTGTTATTGAAGTTGAATTTGGTGAATGCTCCCTCGTGACTAATCTCATTATGTCGGTCTGGGGCTCCGCGCATACATGACTGAACCTCAATTATGTTGTGATCTGAGTATATTGTTTTTGATATGGTGATATTTCTTATCAGATCATCATTGTTAGTGAAGATGAGGTCTAGTGTATTCTCCAGTCTAGTAGGCTCTATTATTTGCTGGTTTAAATTGAATTTTGTGCAGAGATTTAAAAGCTCGCGTGAGTGTGAGTTTTCATCAGAGCTGCCTCCTGGTGTTATTACTGCAACAATATTATTTGCTATATTCCTCCATTTTAGGTGCCCTAAGAGTGGGGGGGTGGTGTTGCCAGGGATGGGATTTAGTGATTATTCTTACTGCAGCTTTTTGTTGGGTTATTATTGGCTTTAGGTGTGTTGCTGCAGTTGATCCCCAAGCACAAATAGCTTAGGTGAGGTATGGATAAATGAGTGGTATAGTGTGAGAAGGGCATTTTGCGGCACGTAGTATCGTATCTTGGAGAGGATCCCAACTGTTTTGGATACTTTTTTGGTTATGTGTTGGATATGGGTGCTAAAATTCAGGTTGTCAAGGTATAGGCCTTGGAATTTGCTCTCATTATGTCTGGTAATTAGAGTGTTGTCGATCTTAATGTTAATTTGTGCATCTCCTGCTCTGCTACCAAACATAATATAGTAGGTTTTGTCAGTGTTAAGCGTAAGATTTGTGAATGTCTCTTGGTTCCCTTCAAGTCTTCAACTCCAGTGTTGAACTGCATTATCAGCTGTGCCACACACTGCACTATTCCATTTTCCTGCATTGAGGGGCAGGAGACTGGAGTTACGTGATACAGGATACCTTTCTCGGATTGTGCAACAATCGAAATACATAGTTATTATAATTTAATTACAGTATATTCATGGGTTCGACAAATCCGTCATTCATTGCTTGGAAAAATGTGTGGAATCGTGTTTGATCAAAGGAGATGATATCTAATTCCTTGGATCAAAAGCCCATCTGCACCGGCGAGTCCCCCGTGAAAGGTCATAGAAGTAGGGTAGCCTCGCACTGCAAGTTTTGTATTAACTAAAAACAGGATATGTGAATCAGTTACACATGGATATGTAGCTAAGCGTTTCCCGTCTGTTGTGATGCTCTAGTGCTGTATCTCAAGGAAGGATTTTTAATTCAGAGAGGCTCTTGATCCAAAGAATTGGACCTCGGCTCCCCTTTTATGGATTGAATTGGATTGTTTTCCATCCTCTTTCTCTAGACTGTATGCTTCCTATGGTTTTAGCCTTACCAATGTACGAATAGTGCTATAAACCTTCACTGTGACCCGTTCTTTGAGTATTCATGGTGCAGCCTATCCTCTACCATTTTGATAGTAAGAAAATGTACGTTCCTGTTTTTACAACACGCCCAGCCCTGCCAGAAGTAAACCACTCTTTTTTTCTATTATTTTTATATGGTAATTATGCATAAATGTTAATATACATTAACCTAAAAACCTAACTCAACCGAGAATAATAAATATTAAAATTTCTAAAAGAAAAAAACACTGAGCGTGTAGAAATACTTTAAAATTCGTCGGACAATGCGCGTTCTAACTGCAAAAACTTTGCAGCAATCGTGAAAGTCTGTTTTGTCCAGCTGTCTTGTGTCCTTCATTGTCCATTGTCGAGTCATTGTGTTGTAATGTTGAGCAGTCAGAACCCCCTTATCTAAATGTGCTAGTGTGCACTCTTGTTATCTGATTTCCCTTCAGAGCTGATATTATAATAAAGGGGAAGCGCTAAACCCGTAGGATTTTACAACGCCTGGGGGGGGAAGTATTCGGGCTTAATTCAGGGAACTGGAACTGGAGCGTCAAGGAACCTTCGTTGAGGGGTTCAGAGCTGATAGTCATTTATCTTGTTAGTCGTTTCTGACGAAATGTACCTCAGCCTCATCACACGAAAAATTATAGCCCTCCCGCTTGGTAAATTGCTGTGTGTACTTCTGGGTTCACTCGCTCTTACTCGTGGGACTTTATCCCTATCATACCCATTATTAAAGCTGTACATGAAGTTTGCCTCCACCATTTCTTAATCTAGGGCATTTCCGTTTCTAACTACTGAGGCTGAAGTAAAAAAAAAAAAATCTGACTTCTGTAACTCGTGCGTCTTAATTTTCGTCTATAACCCTATAACCCCATTCTCTGTTCTTTCCTGTCGAAAAGCCTTTTCTTGTCCAATCTGTGAAGTCCTTTTAAGTATTTTTTGCATCATTATGTATGTTCCCCCCTTCCCTAGTCCTTCTGTCCCTTATTCATCCAATGCTTTCAGACTCGGATCTTTATTCTTCTCGTAACTCTATCTAGTCTCGTTGTGAACCAGTTTATTTTAGGTTTTTGGACCTGCTTGATTGAGAGTTCTTGTTGATGCTGCATACTCCATAACTGGCCTAACCTATGTCGCACATTGGCTTGCGAATGATGCTATTAGTTTCTGAACGCAAATTTTTGATTGGCCGGTGGTTGGTGAGCGAACCTGGTGACATATCTAGGTGCTGCACATGCCTTCTTCATAAACTATATTTATACCTCTGCTGTTCTACATTAGTGAAGGTTCTGTCCCTCCACCTCCAGTCTCTACTCTTTTTTTTTTTCTTCCCTAAATTTCAAAATCTGCATAACTAGGGGCTCTCCACATGTATTGTTGAAAGTCGTCCAATTTTGTAAAAACTAACTTGTAAATAAAATTATACTATTAGTATTTATTAGTGGTTAAATTCCAATAGACATTTGTCCAACTTTCTAGTTTATCTAGATCATATTTTATCCTTTATCTATCACGTTCGCTTTTTTTATCTTCATTAATATCATCTTTATTTTTACAAGTACATGTACAAGGTGACGTACCTAGCTGACATCAATGACATACTACTATATAGAGAACCGCTTGTTATGCTGAACATTTCGGGCAAATTAGGTCAGTTTTGCCCCAGGATGTGACCCACACCAGTTCACTAACACCCAGGTACCCATTTTATACTGATGGGTGAACAGGGACAACAGCTGTCTTAAGGAAACACGTCCTAATGTTCTCCAGCCGAACCGGGGATTCGATCTCCTGACATTGTGTGAGCTGAGTGCACTAGCGATCAAGCTACGGGACACATTATCTGAGGAAAACTGGTACGCTGAATTATTTCTTCACACAAATTGCTTACATACACCAGAAACTACTAGTCCCAGATTTCATGGAATATTGTTACTGTGTATATTATTACTGTATATTCGCTAGGAAGTGTTACTCTTACGGGTCGTACGGCGCCTGAGGAATGAGGCAATTGGTTCGATGAAGGAACAGGATGAAAGTCCAGCTCCTTGGATCAAAAGCCCCTCCTGGCATTGTCACTTTCCTTGAGGGTTGTTAAACGTTTGAAGGTTTTTCTTGGAGACTAACTACAACGTCTCCACTTATATTTTTTCACCACTTGTAGGCTCACAGCTACACTCCTAGGATAATAGCCACACTCCTCCTAGGATAAGAGGCTCATTATTGGGATCACACCCACACTTGTAGGCTCTCACCCACACTTGTAGGAGCTATGAATCGACCCCTGCAACCACAGTTAGGCGAGTACACCCACACTCCTGCTAGGATCACAGCCACATTCTTAGAGTAAGTCATGCTCCAAGAGTAACGGCCACACTCCTAGGATGACTGTGAAAATTTGTCTGGACTGCCTCCAAGTGAGTCGCCTACCCTGGCAAGCTCTGTTGACACCGAGCTCTGAGGTCGGTACCTCAGCCTCATATAGGACAGATTTTCATAAATGATTGATGTTGCAAGAAAATTTCGCCTGCATGCACGTTTAAAGGACTAACTTACTTGGTGATGTAGATCCTATCCTGGTCTTCAACCTCCCTAAGCTTAGCCCCTTTGGACTTCCCCTCAGAAACCACGTGCAACCGGGAGCCTTAGTTCCTGCAATTTTCAATCGATATTAGTGACCTGCCTGCACCTCAGAAATTCCTGTATCCAAGAGGGTGTGTATCCCCTAGTATAACTATGCAGAAACGGACAGTAGCTTCTAGGTTGACAAGAGACAAAGTACGTACTGGTCATGAACTGCCGGTTGCACAAAGGCCTACAGCTCAACTCACTCTCAACTTTCCCCAGACACTGGCCAGAATCCTAAGAAAAAGTGGAGGTCTTGTCTTAATGTATGGGCCTGACGGAGGACATCTACAGTACGTCGAGGTGCCTCCACCAGATTTCCCCAGGTCTCATATGTGAAGACACGTGGGGGCGCCGCCTGCTGATCACGGCATGTGTTATTCAAATGGTGTCTAGTCATAGAAGGAAGCTCTGGCATCTTCGAGACCCGTGCCTCGTCATTCAAACTTGGGCTGCCAGTTCTCCCTAGCTAACTTAACCTAGTGTTTGCCTACATTTGGCCTATTACTACCTATGTTAAGGTCTTAGGTCTACATTATTATTATCTACAGTTGCCTCAATAATCCTAATATTAGTGTACTAACAGTATAAACTACCTACTTCTTCCCTGAAGGGTAAATCTATCAATTAAAAAGTACCTTCCAACCACCTTCGCCAACCCGGGTGAGTGTGTTTGTGTTTTGGGTGGGTTTAAGGGCCCTTGAACGGTGTGTTTTTCCCCGTTGGGACTTCTCGGACCGAATAAGTTCCAACAGTGACAGCCACACTAATGGGTAACAACCATACTAAGATAACAGCCACACCTCTACTAGGATGACACTGTATTAATTGCCCCTTCTCTTTCCTTCAGCGCCAGAAGGATGACCTACCACCTGGCCTATTTTGACCTGCGTGCTCGAGGAGAACCGGTCAGGTGGGTACTACGGGCCCTGGATGTATCCTTCACTGAAGAGAGGTTGGACTTCTTCACGGAGTGGAAGACTAGGAAGCCTGGTAAGTCTTTCTAGAAGTTAGAGAAGACAGGTTGTACTACATTTAACAGTGAGAGTATGATGTGCACTTTTATATTCACGAGGAAGAGCAAAATCCACAGGGGGTTGTATAGCGCCTGGGAAATGGGAGCAAATCAGATTTGGAACTAATTACTTAAATTCATAGAAGTATTTCAAAGTGCGTTTCTCATCTCCCTACTTCCCTAATCCTTATAATCAAGAGCCGAGGTAGGATAACAGCTGTTAGACTGTAAAATTGATTTGTGTAAAAAGAAGAAGAAAAAATTCGCCAGCCTCATGGAAGCAAACATTGAATTGAGTATGGTGCACAATTGGTGCAAATGGTGTGCTACTGTAAAGCCTATTGAATATGGTGGTGATATAGTGGTGAGAACTATTTAATAGTGACACTCCTCTTGTCTTAACATTATTTTACCTACTAATCAGACCAATTAATATCCATCCCTTTTCTTTCTCTGTAATTACCCCCCCCCCTCCCTTAAGGAAGGTTCCTTTGTCGGTGAGGGAGTTCTGGATCTAAGGAATAAGATTGTGCTCTCTCTCTCTTCTTGGGTGTTGTATAACCCTTGTGGGTTAGCACTTCTTTTGATTATAATTATAATCTCTTCTTGGATCAAACCTGAATGACTCCCATGTTCCCAGGGCCATATGACCCCTACAGGTTTAACACTCATGAATGTAATAATCTAAACAGACTATTGGTGAAAGTATTTTGATCCAAGGAATTGGAGCTGGATTTTGATCCAAGGAATTAGAACTGTCCTTCCCTTCTTCTGATTGCCCCTGACTCCCTCCCATTCATCAGGCACTATGATCCGTAATTGTTCAGTACTTCCCTATTAATGCAGTAATAATTAATCAGTTCTTGTTTCTGTCCTTGCTTCATTTGTTACTCCTAATCTTGCCCTGATGCCAGTGTTAATAGACGGTGGGTCGAGCCTCTGTTCCTCACACTTAAGGAACCATCTGAATTTAATGTTTCATGTAGTGGTGGTGTTGGTGTTTGTAGCAATGGTGCTATAAAAGATTTTGAAGAATAAAATTATTTTATGTTGTAATGTATATTTTTGTATAATCTTAAGTAAAATTTAAATTTTATTATTGTTAGTTTTATAATAATACTGATTATAAATACTGTAACTTAATTTTTTTTAACACTAGCCGTCTCCCACAAGGCAGGGTGACCCAAAAAAAAAAAAAGAAACATTCATCATTTCATTCCATTACTGTCTTCTCAGAGGCATGCTGATACTTCAGCTAAAAAAATGCAACATCTCTCCACCTCTTCTTCAAAAAGCAGGCACTGTACTTTCCACCTCCAGGACTCAAGTCCAGCAAACTGGTTTCCCAGAATCCCTCCAACAGCACTTGTAGTAATGAAAAACCTCCACTCCTATCTAACATGTTTACACATGCTCACTGAAAGTCCAAGCCCCTTGTAATCAATACCTCCTTTACCCCTTCCCCCCTCCTACCTTTTCTAGGATGACTCCTACCCTGCTTTCCTTCTACTACAGATTTATATGCCCTCCAAGCCATTCTATTTAGTTCCATCCTTTGTAAATGCCCCAACCACCTCAACAACCCCTCTTCAGCCCTCTGGATATTTTTTTTTTTTTTTTTTTTTTTTTTTTTTTTTTTTAGCAACACATTGCTCTCAAATGTGACATCTCCACTGCTTCCAGCCTTCTCTTTGTTATGGCATCACCACCCACACTTCATACCCATATTATTATATTTGTTTGTCCGTCGATTCGACGAGGACCATCTAATCATCCTGGGGTCGAAGTTGTCAGGCCAATCAGCGCACGAAACGTTCTCTGGCAGTGTGGACAGGGAAGGGTGGCGGCATCGAGGGGTCTGATGGCTCTGGTCTTCCTCGCCTGCCTGCGCTGCTCAGCTAGTAAGATTCTGCTTGCCTCGCAGGATGTTGCCCCTTTCTGGACAACTGCTCGCCAGTCATTCCTGTCCTGAGCTATCAGCTCCCACATGGTGTGGTTGATGTTGAAAGCTTTCAGAGCAGTCTTAAGGGTGTCCTTATAGCGCTTCTTTTGGCCTCCTTGAGAGCGCTTTCCATGCTGCAGTTCGCCAAACAAGAGTTTCTTTGGCAGCCGGTGGTCTGGCATGCGAGCAACGTGACCTGCCCAGCGAAGCTGTGTCTGCATTAGGATGGTGTGGATGCTAGGCAGGCCAGCTGTAGTCAGCACTTCTGTGTCTGGGATCTTATCTTGCCATTTGATGCCAAGAATTTTTCTGAGCCGTGTGGCGTGAAAGTGGTTCAACTTTCTGGCGTGACATTTGTAGACAGTCCAGGTTTCGCAGCCATAGAGAATTGTGGTGAAGACTATGGCTCTGTACACCTTGATCTTGGTGCTTGTGGTGATGCCTCTTTGGTTCCATACATTCTTGTGGAGCCTGCCGAAGGTGGCACTGGCTTTGGCAAGTCTGGCATTCACCTCATCATCGATGACAACGTTTCTGGAAAGGGTACTGCCGAGGTAGGTGAATTTGTCTATGGCGTTCAGTCGCTGCCCATTGATGGTGATGTTTGGCTCAACATACGTCTTTCCCGGAGCAGGCTGGTGCATCACTTCAGTCTTCGTTGTGCTGATTTGTCAGCTCGAAGTTGTTGCAGGCGTCAGAGAACTTGTCAACGCTGTGCTGCATGGCGGCTTCTGAAGCAGCGTTGAGGGTGCAGTCATCAGCAAATAGCAGGTCATTGATGGTGTCAGTTGCAGCCTTGGTTTTTGCTTGAAGCCTCCTGAGGTTGAAGACAGACCCATCTGTACGGTACCTGATGCCGATTCCTGCATCTGTGTCCCTGAATGCGTCTGTAAGCATGGCCGAGAACATCAGGCTGAACAGGGTGGGAGCAAGCACGCAGCCTTGTTTCACTCCATTTGAGACTGGGAATGGTTTCGACGTCTCTCCGTTGTCTTGGACTCTAGCCAGCATTCCATCGTGAATTCGGCGTACGATGGCGATAAACGTCTTTGGGCAGCCATACTTTGCCATGATTCTCCAAAGGCCCTCTCTACTAACGGTGTCGAAGGCCTTGGTCAAAAAGACGTAGGTGGAGTACAAGTTGGCATTCTGTTCCTGACATTTCTCCTGTAGCTGTCTAGCAGCGAACACCATATCGACAGTCCCGCAATCTTTCCGGAAGCCGCACTGGCATCAGTGCATCACTTGCTGTTTTTCCTCCCTTATCAGTTCTATGGTTCACCTTATCTTTCATAGACCCATCTGCTGACATTTCTACTCTCAAATATCTGAATACATTCACTTCCTCCATACTCCCTCTAATCTGATATCCAATCTTCATTTTCTAAAGTTTGTTATCCTCATCACCTTGCTCTTTCCTATGTTCACTCTTAATTTCCTTCTTTTATATACCCTCCCAAATTTGTCCACTAACCTCTGCAACTTCTCTTCAGAATCCCTCAAAAGCAGTGTCATCAGCAAAAAGCAACGGTGACAACATAAGAAAAAAGCAACTGATGATTCCCACTTTATTTTTTCTTTTAATACTACACCTCTTCCCAACAAAGAAAAACTTTTGTTTTTCTTTTCAGGTTACCCTGCCTTTGGTATAGGTTGGCTGGTGCATTAAAAAAAATTATTGTCGTTGCTTGACATGTTGACAGAGTTCGAGTGGGGTGTTGTTCCTGTGCTGGTGTGTGAGGGTGTGCAGCTTCATCAGACCACCACCATCTGTCGCTACCTGGGGGAGAAGCACCAACTGGCCTCAAAGGACTTGTTGCAGGCAGCACGCCAGCAAGAAGTCGTCGAGGCTTTCCACGATGTTTCTGTCTATGTAGCCTTCGCCTTTTTTGCCAGGTCAGTACTCGGCCTAGTTGTAGTTATCTAGTTGTGCTCACCTAGAGGTGACACCACAGCCTGACTGATCAGAGACAGGGCTGAGATTAGCAGGCTGAGAAGCAAACCTCCACCACTCTAGGCACGGAATAATATTTCCACATAATAGTCTATAGAACATTGAGGGCAACTTAAAATAAGATTAGCAGAACTTGATAGAACATTTTACTTGTATGTACATATACATAAATGTTAATAGATATACACAATTCTTCTAAACAGAACAATTATACATGAAAGTAGATTATAAGTGAAGCATGGTACATGACAATAATAAATAGGTCAGGAGACAAGAGTAGTTGATGCATTCATACTTTGCAGTAAACCAAACTAATTCTTGCAGTTGGAAAATAGGTCAATAACCTTTTCCTACCACTGCTGTCTTCTTGTAAGGTAAGTGTTGTGATGCTGGTATGGGGCTCTTGATCCAAGGAATTGTACTTATCCTCCCTTTGATTCTAACCTGGATACTTATCATTTCCTAGGTACTATATGACCCCTACATGTGTAGCACTTCTGACATTAAAATAAAAAGTCCATCACTGCTCACTATCAATATTTGAATGCCCACCATGGAAGTTTCACATAGTAGTACAGTACGTATATTCAAGTGTTGTATACCCAGAGTGTATTTCGGGGGTTAACACCTCCCACAGCCTGGTCCATGACTAGGCCTCGTGGTGAATCAGGGACTGATCAGCCAGGCTCTTACTGCTGGTTGCACACACTGACGTATGAACCATAGGATTATTATTATAATTGTAGGGAAGTGTTTAACCTGTAGGATTATACAGTGCCTGTGGGGGGGGGGATGGAAGGTATTCAGAGCTTAATTCAAGGAACTGGAGCACAGATCCAATTCCCTAGATCAAGAGCTCTTCACCAGCATCAAGGAACCTTCCTTGAGGGGAGTTGGTCAGGAACTGACTTTAGGTGCCTGTCCAGCTCCCTCTTGAAGACAGCCAGGGGTCTATTGATAATCCCCTTTGTATGCTGGGAGGCAGTGTAACGGTCTTGGGCCCCTGACAATTATTGTGTTGTCTTTTAGCATACTCATGGCACCCCCGCTTTTCATTGGGTGATGTTGCACTACCTGCCAAGTCTTTTGCTTTTGTAGGGAGTGATTTTCTTGTGCAGATTTGGGACTAGTCCCTCTACAATTTTCCAAGTGTATATCATCATGCATTTTTATCACCTGCCTTCAAAGAAGTACAAGTCAAGGGACTTCAGTTGTTCCCAGTAATTTAGATGCTTTATTGTACTTGTACGTGCAGTGAAAGTTCTCTGTATATTCTCCAGTTCTGCAATGTTGCCTGCCTTGAAAGGGGCCATTAGTGTACGTATAACAATAATCCAGCCTAGAGAAAACGAGAGATTTCAAGAGACTCTTCATTGATTTGGCATCCCTAGTTTTGAAGGTTGTCTTTATCCATCCTTTCATAGATAAAAAAAAATAAAACTTGCATAGATGTGTGTAAATGTTCGGTACAGTGGAACTTCGGTTTTCGTATGCCCCAGTTTTCGTAGGATTCAGTTTTCGACGACTCTTTTCATCTAAATTTTGTCCGTTTTCGTATATCTGCTTGGTTTTCGTAGAGTTGAAAATGGTCCGTACCAAACGCGTCCATGTGACTCAGCCACTCAAGCGTCCGCACAAAGCATCCCATGCATTCGTGACTCAGTCTGCCTTTGTTTCTTGAGTGAGCATCACCCTGTGTATTGATCTGAAACATTTCGTAATAATCCATTGTTTTTTGTGCTTGTTTATTGAGTGCGACTGCTAAATAAGCCACCATGGGGCCAAAGAAAGTTCTGAGTGCCAGCCCTTTGATAAAGGAGAGAAATACGATAGAATTCAAGAAAGAACTTGTAGCAAAGTACGAAAGTGGCATACCTGTGGCTGATCTTGCCAGGATGCACGGGAAGTCCGCATCAACAATCAGTTTCATCCTGGCAAAGGAAAAAGAAATCAAGGAAGCTGATGTTGGGAAAGGGGTAAATGTGCTAACAAAACAAGAGATCCAAACAATGGAAGATGTTGAGTTGTTGGTGTGGATCAATGAAAGACAGAGGAATAGTGTTTTCGAGGTGATAATTTGCAAAAAGACAAGGCCGTTGCATACGGATCTCACAAAGAAAATGCCTGGAACAAGTGCTGCTGTTAATGAATTTAAGGCCAGCAGAGGCTGGTTCGACAAATTCAAGAAGCGAACTTTCATACAAAGTGTGGTAAGGCATTGCGAGGCTGCAAGTTCGGACAAACATGGGGCCAAAGAATTTGTTGATAAATTCAAAGAGTACATAGAGGCTGAAGGACTCCTTCCCCAATGAGTCTTCAATTGTGACAAAACAGGCATCTTTTGGAAGAAAATGCCAGAGGACCTACATCATGCAGGAGGAAAAGGCAGTGCCAGGACACAAGCCTATGAAGGATAGGCTAACTCTTCTGTTCTGTGGTAATGCTAGTGGGGATTTCAATGTGAAGCCTTTACTGGTGTATCCCTCTGAAAATCCCCGAGTGTTCAAGAACAACAGTGTCATCAAGAGTAAACTGTGTGGTGTGGAAGGCTAACAGTAAGGCATGGGTCACAAGGCAAATTTTCATTGAGTGGGTCAGTGAAGTGTTTGGCCTGAGTGTGAAGAAATACCTCCTGGAAAATCAGTTGCCACTCAAGTACATCCTGGTAATGGATAATGCTCCTGCTCATCCTCCTGACTTGGAAGACCAGTTGTTGGAGGAGTTTAGTTTCATCACAGTGAAGTTCTTGCCCCCTAATACCACTCCTCTCATCTAGCCCATGGACCAGCAGGTCATTTCAAACTTCAAAAAACTCTACACCAAAGCAATGTTTAAAGGCTCTTTGAAGCGACCTCAGACACTGAATTGGCCCTAAGAGAGTTCTGGAGGAATCACTTCATTATCCTCAATTGCATAAGCCTTATAGATAAGGCTTGGCAGGGAGTGACTTCCAGGATGATGAACTCTGCTTGGAGAAAATTATGGCCAGAATGTATCCTCAAGAAGGATTTTGAAGAGTTTGAGGCTGGCCTTGAGGACCTTATGCCTATTGTGGAATCTATTGTGTCTTTGAGAAAGTCCGTGGTGTTGGATGTGAGTGGCCAGGATGTGGAAGAGTTGTTGGATGACCACAGGGAAGAGCTGCAAGACCTTCAACTGGAACAGCAATAGACCGCAGCTGAGGAAATTGCTGTAAAGTTTAAAAGGACACAAGTGCAACTAATGTGACATTTTATTGTGGCAATGTTTCGCTCTCCAGGAGCTTTGTCAAGCTGATACAAACAGTATATGGACACAGAGGGTATATAAAGGCTCAGAGTGAGGTGCAATACTAGTGGTGGTAGTAGTAGTGACAAAAGTTGTAGTATTAGTAGTAATACAATATGGTAGAGCAATTCATTCGTACACGAGTAAAAGGATATAAAAGCTATTACTTGGGTAACATAAAAATAGGTTGGACAAATATAGACTGGATAGAGAAGGCCTGTTTCAGTGTTCAGTGCTGCAGAGGAGGAGGAAGAGAGGGAAGAATGTGCCTTCTTCAGTGATTAAGGACGTGTGCAAAGTGGAGCGAGTTGCAAAGCTTTGGGGAGAAATATCACCCTAACAAAGCGGTTGCAAGCTGTCTGTAACATGTTCAATGACAATACCTTGTCCCAATTTAGGCAAATCTTAGAGACTCCAGAAACAGACCTCTCAGGACAGATTTTTTGTGTGACAGGGGCACAGTGACTTTCAAGCTGGTCCTAGTGCCAGTAAAAGACAAAGAATGGAAGTAACCCTGGATAGGGCCTTGATACCTGAAATCCTTATGGAAGGGGATACCCCTTCCAAACAATAGCCTCTCCTCTTCCCTCTCCCCTCCTCACCGTCTTCCATATGTCAATGAGAATCTTCAGTAAAGGTAAGAGTGATGTTAAATGTTCATTTATCCATTTCATTAGTCATTTATATTTATCATTGTTTTCTGTATGTAAAACTATAGCTATTCTCTATAAAATGTATTTTTTGTTAAAATTTTTGGGTATTTGGAACAGATTAATTATTTACATTATTTCTTAGGGGAAATATTGCTTCAGTTTTCATACAATTCGGTTTTCATCAGACTTTTTAGAATGGATTAATCACAAAAACCAAGGTTCCATTGTAGATTGAAAAAAAAAAAATTCACTGAGTTATTTTTTTCTCCAAATTGGAATTATTTGTTCCATTTTACTGAAATCTGCAGTTCAAGGCAATTTTCCCAAAACTTGCCCCCATCCTTGGTGCATATGCCTATGATCACATTATCTCCATTACTATTATTATTATTATTACACTCGGAACTAAGCGTTAAACCCATGAAGGTCATACATGTTATCTCCATTACTCCAACAAATTATTGTTAATACTGTATTAGAGTACTGTATATTCATGGTAAATTGTTAAACTTGGAAGTGTTATACACTTCCTATAATAAAAAAAAAAAGCAAAGCAGTTTTGTTTTTACCACCAGCCATCTCCCACTGAGGTAGATGAAAAAAAAAACTTCCACTACCATCACTCTTGCTAGAAGTGTGATGACATAATTTAGATGGCCCTCTGAACTGCAGCATCCTCAGCCAAGGTATTATGGTTTATTTTTATGGTAGTGCCTTTCTAAGGATGGGACCCATAACAGTTAACTAATACAGTACATGGGCAGCAGGTGTAAGGAGACTTGCCCAAATATCTTGTCCAGCTTGGGTCTTTTCATCTGTAGAAACAAATTAACCATCTTATTTGTATGTTATGTGTAACCCTCTTCCTCTCTGTAGGATGCGACAGGATGAGATGCAGAAGACAGTCATGTGGGATAAAGTAAAGATCCGTATTCCAGAGCTCTTGAAGAATCTGGAGACCCGCATCACTAAGCAAGGCTGGATCCTCTCCTCTGAGGTATGTGGGTAGGGAAAAGGTTTTCACGGAGAAGGCTATCTCGACATACCAAATAGAAGAACTTTTCTCCTTCACATATGCATGCAGGAATGTGGAATATTGCAATATGAGAGTAAAGTGTGCTTTGAGAAATACTTTTCTTCCTAGCCTAGGCAGGACTCTTTACAAAAACACATTCTGTATACATATATACTATATGCAATATTTACTAATAATTAGTTCTGGGGAATTCAGAAGACAGATTCAGTAGCAGCATAACGCCAAACAAGCTACGAATTTAAGCTCTGCATTTTGGCTTTCTTGCCCCCTTTAAAAATTTTAAATTTTAGTTTCCTTGTTAATAAATATGACAATATACATTTAAAAAATGATCACAGAATAGCAAACAAAAATAATTAAAATGTATTTGCTAAGCCTTGATGAATACTAAGGTAATTTAATTGGTAAATCCTGCTTAATGTGTATATGTATGCAACATTATTTATTTTCTTAAAGGTTTTAAATTTGCCAGCTTCCAAAAGTGTGCAAAATTTTCATACCCCTCTCTACATCCACACAGATGACTTGGGTGGATGTGTTTGTGGCGGCATACCTTGACACCTATGATAATTATCTGCCAGGGACTCTGGCTGCTGCTCCAAAGGTTAAATGCCTCTTGGAGCATGTGAAGGCTATTCCATCCATTAAGACCTGGATAGAGGAGAGGCCAGATTGGCAGAAGTTTGAAGAGCCAGAAGGACTAGTCTAATTTGCTGCAACTTGCACACCGTATAATTTCATCTTGGACTGATTTTCAACATATGAAGGTAAAAGGTGTATTAATACAGGCAGTATAAATAAGTGCATACACATAGGACATCTTTACTGAATGTTTCAGACCTAGGACCTTACACACTCCAAGAGATAAATGAATGAGAAAGCACAGTATGAGTGCCTCTGCAAAGAGTGATTATGTATGAATGATAGTGAAAGTGTTGAATGATAATGAAAGTTTTTTTCATTGTTCAACACTCACCATCACTCATAATCACTGTCTTTGCAGAGGCACTCAGATACAACAGTTTAGATGTCCCTCTAAACTGCCAATATCCCAAACCCCTCCTTTAATGTGCAGGCATTGTACTTCCCATTTCCAGGACTCGTGTGGAGAATGCAAGTAACTGGTGAGAGGTCAGATGGTGTGAGGTCATCTACTGTAATTGCTGTTACTTGGCAGCAACGAAGCATGTAGCAATATCATACGTCCAGAGTTGAGATATATTTACCGGCCCTTTGTTCTATGGTGGTGATGGAAGTAACTATTACGAGGCTTCATTGTAGTGGCACTTATCTGTCATTTTTTCTGTAGATCATTTCAGAGAACACAACAGATAATAGAAGCTATTACATTGCCTCCTTAATTGCAGCTTCCACACCATAGAACAGATAGAAAATACACGCATAATCTCGACTCTAGTACATGATACTTCTACGTGCTGCTTCGCGGCTGCCATGTGACAGTAATTAAATGACGTTGTTCCTTCATCTGATCCTCAACAGTGATTTGCATTCCCACTATATATGTACTGTGATTTCTCATTCTCTTGTATCATTTGGCATGACCAGTGTCCCAAGACTGAAACATATCTAATAAAGATGTCCTATAATTAGGACAAATGTAAAACTGGAAAAAGTGATATTTTTTAATTGACATTTCTTTTAATGCATTAGCAGTCTCTCTACCAAGGTAGGGTGACCAAGGATAAGATTAAACACTTTAACAATCATTCATTCAATCACTGTCTTCCCAGAAGCATGCTGACATCACAGCTCGGATAACCCTCTGAATTGCAACATCCCCACCCCTTCAGAGTGCAGGCACTGTACTTCCTACCTCTAGGACTTTTTTTTAAGTCCAGCTAACTGATTTTCCTGAATCTAGCAGCACATCAAATAATAAAAATCACATTACTCCACTTGCTTACATGAGCCTGTCTGTTGGAATTCAATATTTGATGAGCCTATGAGAGCATAGGCAATGGGGTCGAAGAGGTATGGGTAGGTTTAAAAATGTAGTGTTAGTGTTCAGCAGAAGTTTGTGGTTACAGGAAAGTGGGTGCAGGAGGGAAGAGGAGCGATTGGTGGAATGATGATGTAAAGAGAGTAGTAAGGGAGAAAAAGTTAGCATATGAGAAGTTTTTACAAAGTAGAAGTGATGCAAGGAGGGAAGAGTATATGGAGAAAAAGAGAGAGGTTAAGAGAGTGGTGAAGCAATGTAAAAAGAGAGCAAATGAGAGAGTGGGTGAGATGTTATCAACAAATTTTGTTGAAAATAAGAAAAAGTTTTGGAGTGAGATTAACAAGTTAAGAAAGCCTAGAGAACAAATGGATTTGTCAGTTAAAAATAGGAGAGCAGAGTTATTAAATGGAGAGTTAGAGTATTGGGAAGATGGAGGGAATATTTTGAGGAATTGTTAAATGTTGATGAAGATAGGGAAGCTGTGATTTTGTGTATAGGGCAAGAGGAATAACATCTTGTAGGAGTGAGAAGAGCCAGTTGTGAGTGTGGGGGAAGTTCGTGAGGCAGTAGGTAAAATGAAAGGGGTAAGGCAGCCGGGATTGATGGGATAAAGATAGAAATGTTAAAAGCAGGTGGGGATATAGTTTTGGAGTGTTGGTGCAATTATTTAATAAATGTATGGAAGAGGGTAAGGTACCTAGGGATTGGCAGAGAGCATGCATAGTTCCTTTGTATAAAGGCAAAGGGGATAAAAGAGAGTGCAAAAATTATAGGGGGATAAGTCTGTTGAGTATACCGGTAAAGTGTATGGTAGAGTTTTAATTGAAAGAATTAAGAGTAAGACGGAGAATAGGATAGCAGATGAACAAGGAGGCTTTAGGAAAGGTAGGGGGTGTGTGGACCAGGTGTTTACAGTGAAACATATAAGTGAACAGTATTTAGATAAGGCTAAAGAGGTCTTTGTGGCATTTATGGATTTGGAAAAGGCGTATGACAGGGTGGATAGGGGGGCAATGTGGCAGATGTTGCAAGTGTATGGTGTAGGAGGTAGGTTACTGAAAGCAGTGAAGAGTTTTTACGAGGATAGTGAGGCTCAAGTTAGAGTATGTAGGAAAGAGGGAAATTTTTTCCCAGTAAAAGTAGGCCTTAGACAAGGATGTGTGATGTCACTGTGGTTGTTTAATATATTTATAGATGGGGTTGTAAGAGAAGTAAATGCGAGGGTCTTGGCAAGAGGCGTGGAGTTAAAAGATAAAGAATCACACAAAGTGGGAGTTGTCACAGCTGCTCTTTGCTGATGACACTGTGCTCTTGGGAGATTCTGAAGAGAAGAAAATTAAAGGTGAATATAGGAAAGAGTAAGGTTATGAGGATAACAAAAAGATTAGGTGATGAAAGATTGGATATCAGATTGGAGGGAGAGAGTATGGAGGAGGTGAACGTATTCAGATATTTGGGAGTGGACGTGTCAGCGGATGGGTCTATGAAAGATGAGGTGAATCATAGAATTGATGAGGGAAAAAGAGTGAGAGGTGCACTTAGGAGTCTGTGGAGACAAAGAACTTTGTCCTTGGAGGCAAAGAGGGGAATGTATGAGAGTATAGTTTTACCAACGCTCTTATACGGTGTGAAGCGTGGGTGATGAATGTTGCAGCGAGAAGGCTGGAGGCAGTGGAGATGTCATGTCTGAGGGCAATGTGTGGTGTGAATATAATGCAGAGAATTCGTAGTTTGGAAGTTAGGAGGAGGTGCGGGATTACCAAAACTGTTGTCCAGAGGGCTGAGGAAGGGTTGTTGAGGTGGTTCGGACATGTAGAGAGAATGGGCGAAACAGAATGACTTCAAGAGTGTATCAGTCTGTAGTGGAAGGAAGGCGGGGTAGGGGTTGGCCTAGGAAAGGTTGGAGGGAGGGGGTAAAGGAGGTTTTGTGTGCGAGGGCTTGGACTTCCAGCAGGCATGCGTGAGCGTGTTTGATAGGAGTGAATGGAGACAAATGGTTTTTAATACTTGACGTGCTGTTGGAATGTGAGCAAAGTAACATTTATGAAGGGATTCAGGGAAACCGGCAGGCCGGACTTGAGTCCTGGAGATGGGAAGTACAGTGCCTGCACTCTGAAGGAGGGGTGTTAATGTTGCAGTTTAAAAACTGTAGTGTAAAGCACCCTTCTGGCAAGACAGTGATGGAGTGAATGATGTTGAAAGTTTTTCTTTTTCGGGCCACCCTGCCTTGGTGGGAATCGGCCAGTGTGATAATAATAAATAATAAAAAATGATAATTTAACCTTGAGCCATTCAGTGGAATGCCTTGATGCCAGTGAAAGACTCTTGAAGCACAGAATTGAAGCTACCATCCCCTTCTTTGCATGAAACCTGAGTACCTCAGAATTCCCAGCCATTGTAAGACCCATATACTGTAAGTTTAACACTCAACATGATTAAATTATTTTCACAAGCCCCCTCAGTGGTGCCTTGATACCAGTGAGATAGACTTCATTGAAGGAAGTGGACCTATATCTCCTTCCTTGGATCAAACTTGATTGCCTCCAATTCTTGTATAACCCTTAGGAGTTTAACACTTCCCCTGATTATAATCAGGGAAGTGTTAAACCCATAGATGTTACACAGTGTCTTGGGAATAGGTGAATCAGGCTTGCCTAATCCAAGGTTAAGGTTGCTCCAGTCCCTTAGATCAACTCCTCACAAACATCAAGGCACCACCATTGAAGACAAGGAGACGTTGCATTACTATGGGACAGCTTACTAGGGGATCAAAAAAAAAATACTTTGAAATAATGCTTAGAGAGAAAAAAAAAAAAGCCTGATATTAGATTCATGGGAAAGCAAATTGGGAATGAGGGGAAGGGTAAGTCTAATTCTTAGAGTTGGAAGGCCTTTTTCCCTCAAAGCTTTGAGGTTCCTTGATCTGGTGAGGGTCTCTTGACCCAAGGAATTAGATTTGCTTTTCCCTTTTATCAAAACAATGCCTTTTCATTCCTCCAAGTATTATAACCCCTATAGGTTTAGTGCTTCTGTTAGCATAATAGAGGGGGGTATGAATTACAAGACCAAGCTCAAGAATATTTGGTTGATTAACTAAAATTATTAAAAAGGATTTGCAAATTATGAATCACTTTTTTTTTTTTTTTCAAATAGTTTAATTAAAAATATGAATATACCATGTACAATTCTGTGTTTAATAAACAAAAGTGCAAGTGTAAGTATACGTTGTGTATATACAGTGATATTACCAATTATGAATATGCATTTTACAACTAAAAATGTTAGTTTTAATGGCAGTGCTAACAATTAACTTTTCTAATGCACTTTCATTATAATAATAAACTTTGATAAATCCTGAAACAAACAGAAATGAATCTATTATACTGTACCACAATTTAGGCAGATTGTACTTAATTGAATAACTCGGTACTATTAAAATAGTTTTACATTTTAGTGAAAAATACTATGTACAGTACTATAGTGTAGCCATTTGTGGGGTCAGGTTTGATGAACCATGTAAGAGCAGCATGTTGTTGGGAAGTACTTAACTGGAAAGGATCAGCATTGACTGCTACACAGTGCTAAAAATGGAAAGAGGTATTTTTATCAGTGCAGGTTAGTCATGTGCAAAATCACATACTCTGTAAAGGTGGAACTTAGTGTATGGGGAAAAGTAAACGTTATTGGGATGTTGTACCCTTGTGGCTTAGCGCTTCTTTTTGATAATAATAATTATAATGGGATGTTGTAAACAGTTGATGTATTATGATAGCATAGTCTACCAAACAATATTGAACTGTCAGCAATTTGGTACCATGTGACAGGTTTGCAAGAGTTCTTCTTGTAATGATGCAGGACTTGCTTCAGTGAAGCTACTATAGGCAAGGCTGGCATAAAAGCAGTCATGAGAGCACTATTCCCCACAGTTCAAGTGAAGAGTCCAGAAGCCTAGTTGTTCTCAGATTATTATTATTATAATCAAAAAGAAGCGCTAAGCCACAAGGACTATACAGCAATTGTTCTCAGAATGGAAAGATTTTCTTCAGGATAATAATGAGAGATCCCTTATATACTTACCAATTGGCCTTCAAGTCCTATTAATTGTTTTATCCTGCAGTACTGTACTTGAGTGGATTTTATGTGCTCTTAAATTTGCCACTTTCTGATGTCCAGTCTCCCAACTTAATTATACAGGTAACATTCTTGCTTGGTTCATCTACACTGTCAGTTATAGATCCTACCAATTGGTAATGAATGGTAGGTACGGCTTAAATTCTAATGACACTTTACAAAGTGGTGAACAGTCCTAAAGCATAAGACAAGGATGGTGGATAGCTACTTGATCAACTCTAAAGTGATTATTAACTGCTTATGAATTTATACTAGCTGGAAATTCAAGCCCACAATTTTTCATGCTTTAAATTATCTTCAATACACCCAGAGTGAGAAAACATCCTCTGAATATAACTGCCTGAAGATATTGAAGAGGTTATTAATGCATACTTGCTACTAAAATTGTTTATAAATAAATTTCCTGTTTTTAATTGCAACAAATTAATTTGAGAATTTCTGATGTGTGCATGTAACCTTAAAAGCTGGCACTGTAGTCAGATACTTGCTCCTCTTCTCCTTTGCCCGACGTCCTGCTCTTCTCGTCGTCATCTTCAAGGTCAACATCAGACTGATCATCAGGAACATCCTCCTCCTCTTCATCTTCCTCCTCTTCATTGGCTTCAGCCTCTGCTCTAGCAGACTGTTAAATAAATATGAATATTTTTTTTGAGGTTTAATTTAGCCCTACATTGAGGAAAAAAAAAAAAAAGTATTAGTTTACAGTTACGGCTGTTTCTTGCTGATGTTCTTAACGAATTATCCTTTATTTATCCTGTAGTGTCCTTTTATAATCTGTAGTTAACATGTCGCCTGCTTTCGTGGGAAATACAACTGAGATTTGAAAAAGAGAAAAAATGTATACAAACACTCTTGACACTTATGATATTTAATCCTGAACCCATATTAAAGGTAAATGGGGTGTATCCAATAGTCCCTAATCAAATACTATGCTGAAACATGCACGGCAAATTAAATATAGGAAGAACAATGGGGTATATCAGATTCTTGTTTTTTAACCTTTCTTTACCATATCCAATGCCGAGTCATTCACACCTTAGCTCTTACTTAAATTTAACTTTCAAACACATGCCTCTTGTATATAATTATAAACATCCAATGCATTATTACCTGAGTAAGTATTTCTTCTCCTTTCAAGTCTCTGTTCTTCAAGTTACCCATCCAGAAAGCATTGCAACACTTGTTGAGAGCCAGCATAGCCTTGACCCGATACACCAACATTTCTAGCAACTTCTTGACCAGTGGGACATAACGAGTTAAACTTGTATCCTGAATGACCTACAATGAAATTAAGAGCATAAAACTAATTTGTTTCATTAATAAAAAAAAATACTTTGCCTATCACTGCAACAATATTTTAAAAAGTAATATCCGAGTGGTTCTGGGAATCCTCAGCTCTTAAGCTCATCTCAAAGTGTGTAAATTGGATAGGAAATATAACAGGAGTTAGAACGAAAAGATAAAGAAACGTAGGAAAGTAAAGTGTTTACTAAATGTAAGTAGAAATCTAAAATTTACCTGATTCAATACATAAAGTACATGCAGATAGGAGAAAGAACCCATCTGTTTTATTATAACAATAATACTGTCCAGAACAAGTTTTAGAGGTAATATTATGCTCAAAACAGCTTTATCAAAAAGAAATCTGTAAATAAAGGTTCGCTCTATACAAGAACAGCTTTTTACCATAATTGTTAGCATATCTAGCCAACACACTATTTTCTTAAGCATAAGAGAAAACTTGAACTTCCTAGTAAAGGGGAACATAATTAAGTACCCATGGAATGAAGTTAAATATCATCTTCAATGTCCAAAAAGTCCTCTTTACTTGAACCCACTTAAGTGATAATAGGGCTTCTGCCCCTCAAGGAAGGTTCCTTGATGTTGGTGAGGGGCTCTTGATTTAGGGAATTGGATCTGTGCTCCAGTTCCCCGAATTAAGCCTGAATGCCTTCCACATCCCCCCCCAGGCGCTGTATAATCCTCCGGGTTTAGCGCTTCCCCTTGATTATAATAATAATAATAATAGGGCTTCTGCCATTGTTTATATGTTGCACAATGTATGTCAATTTCCATTTTTTCTTTTATTCCCAATTTAACCCTCAAGTTAAACAGTTATTTCTTATAATCATGGTTTTTAAAAGAATGTGTATTGACATGCACAAATTTAACCATATTACTTTGGATATTTCAATGGGTTTCATTGCAACTTACTTTTTTGAGGTATTTCAATGGGCTTCATTTCACTTAGAGCTTAGAGCTTCATTTCTAATATCACACATTTACTCTTTGAATTCACAAATAACCAGAGGAAGAGGAAACGAGACAAACTTACCTTGGAATGTGTACACACGTGCTGCAAATGCCTTGTTGAGACCTGGAGACTCTTCAAGAGGGTAACCACTTCCTGATTGTGATGGCGTAGGCAGGTGTCCATCAGGGGCATAGCACTGCGCAGAAAGAGCTCCAAAAAAGACCGTGCATGCTGTAACAGTTATAAACCATGCATGAAATACATCCCACTGTTAGTAAAGATTATCCAGAGGTGCAAAAGTAGAGAGATTATTAATATACAAGTTCTGTTGTCATACACATTCTAAAACAGAACTTTTTGAAGTTAGGCTCTCTGACAGAATCATTGATTTTTATTCTATATTTTTCAACACATCAGCTGTCTTCCACTGAGGCAGGGTGACCCAAAAAAAAAAAAACTTTCACCTCTTTGCAGAGGCAATCCATTACAACAGTTTAGTGTCATAAATCTGTGTGCAAGGGGCTTGGACTTCCAGCAAGCGTGCATGAGCGTATTTAATAGGAGTGAATGGAGACAAATGGTTTTTAATACTGGATGTGCTGCTGGAGTGTGAGCAAAGTAACATTTATGAAGGGATTCAGGGAAACTGGCAAGCTGGACTTGAGTCCTGGAGATGGGAAGTACAGTGTCTACACTCTGAAGGAGGGGTGTTAATGTTGCAGTTTTATAACTGTAGTGTAAAGCACCCCTCTGGCAAGACAGTGATGGAGTGAATGATGAAAGTTTTTCTTTTTCGGGCCATCCTGCCTTGGTGGGAATTGGCCGATGTGTTAATAAAAGAAATAAAATATGTATTAAGAAATAGGCAAATTTTTAATTTTTGCTCAGATTTAGTCTACACTTGCCACTTTTACATTTCTCTGTGCTCTGTCACAAGCCAAGATGTTGATTATCCCCTTTTCTTCCATCTGACTGACTTCTTCCTTTCAACGCACCAGCCGTATCCCACTGAGGTGGGGTGGCCCAAAAGGAAAAACGAAAGTTTCACCTTTTAAATTTAGTAATATATACAGGAGAAGGGGTTACTAGCTCCTTGCTCCCAGCATTTTAGTCACCTCTTACAACACGCATGGCTTACGGAGGAAAAATTCTGTTCCACTTCCCCATCGAGAAAAGAGGGAATAGACAAGAGCTAGAAAGAAAATAGAAGAAAACCCAGAGGGGTATGTATATACGTATATGCTTGTACATGTATGTGTAGTGTAATCTAAGTGTAAGTAGAAGTAGCAAGACATACCTGAAATCTTGCATGTTCATGAGACAGAAAAAAGGACACCAGCAATCCTACCATCATGTAAAACAATTACAGGCTTTCGTTTTACACTCACTTGGCAGGACGGTAGTATCTCCCTGGGCGGTTGCTGTCTACCAACCTACTACCTATGATCTGTCTGACTATAATACAAAAGAATAAATACTCTATATTCATGAGGCATGGAGCTTTGAAGGCTAACTTCAATCTGGGATGAAGAGCCAAAAGTGAATCTGAAGAGAGTAATCTCTGAAACTTGGAAGCAAATTGTTTTAAATAATTATGAAAATTTTTCTAATTTGTAATTTTTAAATCTGAATACATGTTCTAATTTTAATACAGTACTCAGAATTTTCTATACCTTGGATACTCAACTATTTAGTGCTTGATGAACAGAGACAAAAGGTGTTAAAGACTTGCCCATACATCACTCCCTGCCTGCTACTGAACTTGGAGCCTTTTGGGTGTGAGCCAAATACTACCACTGAGCTACATGTTACTTCCTAGCTAGAAGGTGTATTTAGTGCTAAGCATTTAGCAGATGAACTAAAAAAAAAATTAAGAAAATCAAGACATTTGAGTCGGAAAGGACAATACACTGCATATTTTTAAGAAATATTAACATTGATACTGATGTAAAGGCAAATTCCACATGGATAGAAAATAAAACAGAGTGAAGAGAATTTATATATCTCAGCCTCAGTAAGAGTAACTCTTACTGAGGCAAATAAGATGATCTTTGAGACCAAAATAGTCTTTCTACTCTGTGTTTTATTGTCGGTCCATGTGGCATTAATTTATTCACTCACTGGTTTTCCTAATTAATACTGACCTTCAAGCAAGCAATCAACAACTGGCGGGAGTTGTGTGTCTTGAGCACCATAACCAATGTATGAAATATCTTGATAGCAGTGTTCCACACCAGTAACTTCTGCATATTATTACTTGATGAGCCTAAAGCTGTGAGAGACTTTTTAATTCCACTCCCTAAGAACGACAGCAAATTGCGATAATATATTCCCAGGGTGCCCCTAAAGGAGATCAAGAATATGATTAGTTTTAACCTGGATATCTGCATTATTCAATGCTTCAGCAATTTTCTTCAAATATATTATTATATTGCATATGAGTGATGAATTCTGGAATGCACAAATCATCAGCATGTGAAAGATATATACAGTAGTTTTTATAAAAAAAATCAAACTTTTGAAGTTTTCAACGCACTTCATACATTAACTGGAAGGTTTTCTTCCAACCTAAATGATGAAAACCTCAAGTCAAATATCACTAGTAATTTCAAAGGCACTTTTAGTGAGGAAAAACCTTTATTAGATGTTTCACCCACTGGGTGAAATGTGTAATACAAATATTTTCCCTGTCAAAAGTGTCTTTGAAATTAACACTTGGTGGTTTACATCACTATTTACTAAATATCATCCCTACTTGTTGAGTGTTGGGAAGCTGTCCGAGTGAGGATCACGACCAGTAGCCCTCATAAATTCCTCTAGTGGTCCACTGCAAATATTTTCTATCAATAACAGAGGATTTTTGCTCTGTTTCAAGTATTCCTGTAAAAAAAAAAAATCTTATATTTCCAATTACTGTACCTGACTTGAGCTATGGAGTTGGGAAATAGTGCACTTGCACTCTATTATAAAAGCCTTGCCTATTTAAACACACACAAAACCTAAGAAGGCCAAACAAAGTGCATCTAGACTGATGTCTGAAATAAGTAATGAGGCAAAATGAAGAACAAGAGGGGACACGTTTACTATATACAAAATACTTTGGGAAATCGACAGGATTAACAAAGGTAGACTTTACAGCCAAACTAATTTTTGGAGATATAACTCTAGATCATGTTTTGGTCCATCCTGGACCTTATTGTATCACAACTTGGTCAATAATAGACAGAAATATCATCAAAAGTTTTCTCTCCACATTGTGACTATTTGTGAGATGCTTCAGCCATTTTACTCTGCAGAGAGCTTTATAAAGTCAGAGTAAAATGTTGCCCCCTAAAGACTTAAACTGCAACTTCTATTTCTGTCAGTATTTTGCAATCTTGTCAATCATAACCATTGCACGTTTTCAGTATTCAGCATCCACAATCAATGGTAGCCACTGTAACTACAATAACCTACACCTTTACCGTTAATATACCTTTGAAGAGTTTCAAGAGTTTCTCTACTCTCTGAGCCCAGCCATGGGCCAGGCTCGTCTGGTGCTTGCCTGGTCAACCAGGCTGTTGCTGCTGGAGGCCCACTGCCCCACATATCCATCACAGCCTGGTTGATCTAGCACCTGGTGAAGATACTTGTCCAGTTTCCTCTTGAAGGCTTCTACACTTTTCCCAGCCGTGTTTCTGATATCTTCTGGTAAGATGCTGAATAGTCTGGGACCCCAGATGTTGATACAGTGTTCCCTTATTGTCCCCACTGCACCCCTGCTCCTCACTGGGTTTATTTTACACTTTCTTCCATATCTCTCACTCCAGTATGTTGTTATGGCAGTGTACAGATTTGGGACCAGGCCCTCGAGTACTTTCCAGGTATATATTATCATGTATGTCTCTCTCCTCCGCTCCAATGAGTACATGTTCAAGACTTGAAGGCATTCCCAGTAGTTTAGGTGCTTTACTGGCTCAATGTGAGCCTTAAATGATATCTGTATTTGTTCTAGCTCTGGTATTTCTCCTGCTTTGAATGGGGCCATCAGTACTGAGCAATATTCTAAGTGAGGGAGCACTAGTGATCTGAAGAGTGTCACCATCGGTATTATTTCCCTTGTTTTGAAAGTTCTCAGTACCCACCCTGTCATCTTCCTGGCTGTTGTGATCTTTGTCCTGTTATGGTCTTTAAAAGAAGGGTCAGGTGACATAATTATTCCCAGGTGTTTTACATGTTCTTTACGTTCTATATGGTGATCCTCTTGAGTTTTGTATATAGTATTTCTTTTGAGTTCTTCATTCTTTCCATACCTAAGCAGCTGGAACTTATCACCATTGAACGTCATGTTGCTTTCCATTGCCCACTGGAAAACCCTGCTTATGTCTTCCTGTACTTTTTCAGTGTCCTCTACCATAGTGACTTTCATGCTTATTTTAGTGTCATTTGCAAATGATGATACAAAAGTGTGCCAGGTGTTTTTATCTATATCTGCTATGAGGATGAGAAACAACAGAGGTGCCAGGACAGTGCCTTGGGGCACTGAGCTTTTGATCTCACTGATGTTGGATCTTGCCCTGTTCACTCCTACTTTTTGTGTTGTGTGTGTTCGGAACCCAAAACCCATCTGCCTACCTTCCCCATAATGCCCATTGACCTCATTTTGTGTGCTATCACTCCATGATTGCATTTGTCAAACGCCTTCGCAAAATCTGTGTAAATCACATCTGCGTTTTTGTCATCTTCCAATGCCTCCGTAATTCTGTCATAACGGTTCAGCAGCTGTAACAGGCATGATCGTCCTGCTCTAAAACCATGCTGGTTCGGGTTATGCTGGTCCATGAAATTTGTAATCTGCTGTCTCATCACTCTTTTGAAGATTTCTGTGATGTGAGAAGTTAGGGCTACTGGTTTGTAATTTTTAGCTAGTGCTCTGCTACCTTCTTTATGCAAAGGAGCTATGTCTGCACTCTTTAAGGCCTCTGGTATTTCACCTAGATCTAAGCTCTTTCTCCAAAGAATGCTGGGTGCTCATGCTAATGGTACTTGACACTTTTTTTATAAATAGAGCATTCCATGAATCTGGTCCAGGTGCTGAGCGAGTGGGCATGTTGTCCATTTCTTTTTCAAAATCTATGGGATTTGTACTAATGTCAGTCAGTTGGTCTGCGTGGCCTTCTTCTGGAGTGAAAAATATTTCTGTATTTTTTACATTTCTACATTTACATTGCAACAACCTAAGAAGAATAAAGAAGTTTTACCTGTTATGCTGTATAGCCCTTGTGGTTTAGCACTTCTTGATAATAATAATAATTACCTGAAGTAGAATATGTACTTGTTGGTTGAACACTGCTCCCTTCTCCCTTTCCCCACCAGTTGCATACCATTCTCTCTTCAGTAGATCTTCAACAACTTCCACTGAAACAAAATATTATTACACACTTATTTTTAAATCATAAATGTTTATATGTGAAAAGAGAAAATTAAAACATTATACAGTATCTAAAACTATATATACATATAGGAGAAATCCCCATAAAATACATAACTATAAATATGAAAAAAAAAATACCACTGAAAATATAAAACAGAAACTTCTTCTTTCTTTCAACAAACCGGCCGTATCCCACCGAGACAGGGTGGCCCTAAAAGAAAAAGAAGTTTCTCTTTTTAAATTTAGTATTATATACAGGAGAAGGGGTTAGTAGCCCCTTGCTCCCAGCATTTTAGTTGCCTCTAATGACACACATGGCTTATGGAGAAAGAATTCAAAACAGAAACACCTGGGTTTTATGAAGCAAGTTAACATTTATGAAGGGATTCAGGGAAAAATGGTTAGCTGGACATGAGTCCTGAATGTGAGAGGTATAGTGTTTTTTTTTTTTACACAGACTCAGTTTTACAGGCTAAGAGCTGTTATCCTACCTCAGCTCATTTCAAAGCCCAGCCTTATCTAAGGTATAATACCACCCCAGAGGATGCAACCCACAACAGTCAACTAATGCCCAGGTACCTACTTGCTACTAGGTGAACAGGGGCAGCAGGTATAAGGAAACATGCCCAATATTTCCATTCGTGTCAGGGACTGAACCACACACACTCAATATGTGAGTTGAGTGCTTTCATTCTGAAGAAAAAGTGTTGACAATGTTCTAGTTCAGAGGGTCATTCATACTGTGATATGTGCACACCTCTGGCAAGACAGCTACTGAATGAGTGATGGTGAATTTTCTTTTATACAAAAACAGGAATAAACCTGAGAATAGTGGTGCCAACACTTCTGTATAGATATGAAGGATGGTCTTTGAAAGTTGCAACAAGTAGGAGGCTGGAAGCTAAGATGTTATGTTTGATAATAATCTGTGGTGTGACTGTTATGCAAGGAATTAGGGGTGAAGAAATTAGAAAACAGTGTGGTGGTATGAAACACAATTCAGAAAAATGAGGGATTGTCAAGATAATCCGGTGGTTCAGAAAAGATGGATCAAGTTAGGCTGACCAACAAGGTGAAAAAATCTGTGGCTGGAGGCTAAGGATACAGGTGATACTTCAAGATTATGAAGGAGAATGTTAAGGAGGTTTCAAGTGTGAGCATACTACATTAGAATGAGTGGAGAGGAGTGTTTTTGGTATCTGCCATGTTGTTAAGAGTATAATCAGGGTAACATTTATGAGGGGATTCAGGAAAAACAAGTTAGCTGCACTAAAGAGTTATTGGGTTGAGAAGAACATTTTGGTGCATCTTTATAATTATGAAGTCCATGTTCTTCCGGAAAGACAGCAAGGGAGTAAGTTATAGTGAATGTTTTCCCTTCTTTGGGTTGCCCTGCCTTGGTAGGAAAGGGTTGTGTAAAAAAAATTACTTTATTTTACATGCAATGTCCAAAAACTGAATATGTCCTGGTCCTTTAATATTACTCAGAAATAATATATGTAGGAGTCTACATTTGTAAAAGGTTGTTAAGTACTGATTTCTTTAGATAATGTACAGTAACACTGTTTACATAACTAACATTGAAGAAACTACAGTATTAAATTTTATTCACTTACCAAGTTTGTCACTAAAATCTTCATGTTGTGGGAGAAGGGTGACTGCAACCAGCGTCTGCACAAGGAGCGATGCAGTCTCAATGCTGACAACAGATGAATGGAAGTTTGAGATGTATCGGAAAACTATTGATATCAATTCTTCTTGTCCCATTCCACTCACAACTTCACCCTCCAACTTTTTGGCAATAATACGCAGAACAGCTGAAAAATATTTTTACAAGTTTTAATATTTCACATACTATCAGTTACCACTTCCCATCAATCCCCTACTCCTTGTGCTGAGTGGTCCACACAGGTTTAAAGCTTCACATCAGTTAATGACTGTTTGTGATATCAATAGACTCTACTAATACAGTTATAAGTGACCAAATGGAAAGTTAGCTGCCCCAATTTTAATGAAACATTCATGTGAATTGGTAGCTCATTAATCGTAAACGATATTCTTTTAACTCAATGGCCGTCTCTCAAAAAGGAAGGGTGACCCAAAGAAAACATTTTCACCAACATTCCTTTGAAATGGGAGAGAAGAGAAATCTTTTCCTGAAAGTAATGACGCCAAAATACACAAAATTTGATGGAAAACTTACAGAATTACGCAGATGCAAAGCTAGTGATCTTGGCAAATTTTAAGTATCGGCAATTTTGCTGAGCTTGAGTCCTATTTAAAGCCAATTCCATTGCTCAATTTGACCAAATTGTTAGCTCTTTCACTAGTATGCCTTCCATTCTACTGACCGAGTACAAGAAACTGCCCATTCAACTATCAAAACAACCCTATAAAGTGCACAGAATTCGGTAATTTGGCCAATTTTATGCAAAATTAAACAAATTTCAGTTTAAAAATACCTATATTCATATTTTTAAAATAAACACTGTAAACATTCCAGGCACTAAAACAACATTTTGTCTATACAATAATCATGTCCTCAAGCCTCTCCTGTATTACCCATGCCTTCCCTATTTCTCAAATAATAAAATATATCCAGCAGTATTTAGATAACGGTAGGGAAGTTTTTATTGCATTTATGGATTTAGAAAAGGCATATGATAGAGTGGATAGGGGAGCAATGTGGCAGATGTTGCAAGTGTATGGAATAGGTGGTAAGTTACTAAATGCTGTAACGAGTTTTTATGAGGATAGCGAGGCTCAGGTTAGGGTGTGTAGAAGAGAGGGAGACTACCTCCCGGTAAAAGTAGGTCTTAGACAGGGATGTGTAATGTCACCATGGTTGTTTAATATATTTATAGATGGGGTTGTAAAAGAAGTAAATGCTAGGGTGTTCAGGAGAGGGGTGGGATTAAATTATAGGGAATTAAATACAAAATGGGAAATGACACAGTTACTTTTTGCTGATGATACTGTGCTTATGGGAGATTCTAAAGAAAAATTGCAGAGGTTAGTGGATGAATTTGGGAATGTGTGTAAAGGTAGAAAGTTGAAAGTGAACATAAAAAAGAGTAAGGTGATGAGAGTATCAAATGATTTAGATAAAGAAAAATTGGATATCAAATTGGGGAGGAGGAGTATGAAAGAAGTGAATGTTTTCAGAGATTTGGGAGTTGACGTGTCAGCGGTTGGATTTATGAAGGATGAGGTTAATCATAGAAGTGATGAAGGAAAAAAGGTGAGTGGTGCATTGAGGTATATGTGGAGGTAAAAAATGTTATCTATGGAGGCAAAGAAGGGAATGTATGAAAGTATAGTAGTACCAACACTCTTATATGGGTGTGAAGCTTGGGTTGTAAATGCTGCAGCAAGGAGGCAGTGGAGATGTCCTGTCTAAGAGCAACGTGTTGTAAACATTATGCAGAAAATTCGGAGTGTGGAAATTAGGAGAAGGTGTGGAGTTAATAAAAGTATTAGTCAGAGGGCTGAAGAGGGTTTGTTGAGGTGGTTTGGTCATTTAGAGAGAATGGATCAAAGTAGAATGACATGGATAGCGTATAAATCTATAGGGGAAGGAAGGCGGGGTAGGGGTTGTCCTCGAAAAGGTTGGAGGGAAGGGGTAAAGGAGGTGTTGTGGGCGAGGGGTTTGGACTTCCAGCAAGCGTGCGTGAGCGTGTTAGATATGAGTGAATGGAGACAAATGGTATTTGGGACCTGACGATCTGTTGGAGTGTGAGCAGGGTAATATTTAGTGAAGGGATTCAGGGAAACCGGTTATTTTATATAACCGGACTTGAGTCCTGGAAATGGGAAGTACAATGCCTACACTCTAAAGGAGGGGTGTGGGATATTGGCAGTTTGGAGAGATATACTGTGTATTTTTATACATATATACTTCTAAACTGTTATATTCTGGGCACCTCTGCAAAAACAGTGATTATGTGTGAGTGAGGTGAAAGTGTTGAATGATGAAAGTATTTTCTTTTTGGGGATTTTCTTTCTCTTTGGGTCACCCTGCCTCGGTGGGAGATGGCTGACTTGTTGAAAGAAAAAAAAATCCAGAAATGATTTGTCATGGCTTATGGCATCCCAATAATTGAATCAGACCTAGTAAAAACCCTTAAAACAGATCTGAGGATGCAGAGAAAACCTAACCCATCTGTAGGAATTAACAAAAACTAAATATTTCTGCTATTTTGAGGCTGATTTCAACCTACTTCCAGTCTAGGAACCACCTAAAGTCATCTCTATTTCAGTAGAATGTCTTCCATTCTATCAAATGATACCAAGAAACAGCCAATAAACCCAAAATAATCACTTTAGAAAACCCCTCAAATTTGTTATTTTAAACTAAACTCAAGGTAAGAGTCTTGCTTTTCCCATCATGCACCATGCAGGGCAGGATATTTTTTTATACTGTGCACACTCATCTCAGACCCATTCTTTCATATCTAGGTCAAAATTTACTGTTCACAGCTTATCTGAGTCAGCTGATCTCATGATGTAGTTCTACATAATGGACACTCAAAAGATTAAGGCGGTAACTCTTTCAGCCCAACTGAGCAATTTTTGTGTTGTATTTGGCTTTTCTAATAACACAGAATACTGCACAGCTTGGAGTTTAGTTGTGTCCACTAACCATTAGCTAAGTAAGTTATGATAACTTCTCCATGGGAAAGTGGAGAAGAATCCTTCCTCCGTTAAGCCGTGTGTGTTGTAAGAGGGGACTAAAATGCCAGAAGCAAGGGGCTAGTAACCTCTTTTCTTGTATAAATTACTAAATGTAAAAGCAGAAAAACTTTCCAGTTTTCTTGTTTTTTGGGTCATCCTGCCTTGGTGGGAGACAGCTGGTATGTCAAAAAAAAATTATGCTAACTCTATTTTTTATAATCTATTACAATGGACCCCCAGTTATCGTAATTAATCCATTCCTGAGTGATTAAACCTGAATCTGACAATTTTCGAATTCATTTTCCCCATAAGAAATAATGTAAATCCAATTAATCCGTTCCAGACACCCAATAGTATTAAAAAAAAAAATTTTTACATGAAATATACATTTACCTACACATAGAACAATGAGACATACAGAATAAAACAATAATAAAATGACACCTTTATTAAAGAATTGTTGATGTATGGAAGATGAGAAGGGAAGAGGATGGAGGAGTTACTATTGTTTGGAAGAGGAATCCCCTTCCATAAAGACTTGATGTACCAAGTCCTTTTCTGGGGTTACTTCCCTTCTTTGTTTTTTAATGACACTAGGACCAGCTTGAGAGTCACTGACCCCTGTTGCTCAAAAAAGTGTTCCAGAGAGGTCTGTTTCTGGCATATGTTAGGAATTGTGGTGGCGGCAGGGAAGTGTTGGGAGACAGGACAAGATAGTCTCCCCACCTGACAAGTGTTGCTGGGTTGTTTGTTGTTGGGTCTATAAGGGCCACTGAAAGATAAGTCTTACATAGTGGTAGTGGTGGCGGCACTAGAGACGGCGGTGTTGTCAGTAGCCCTATATAACTCCAACAACATTGGAGGAGTCTGATTCATGCTGTCATTTTTCTATCGATTAATCGCTTAACTTACTTGCTACACTGTTAATGCTACACTTTATCGCTGGCTGGCACTATAGCCTTTTTTGACTCCTGTTGCTTTAGTATCATACATATCGCAGAATCATTGAAGGCACATTCTCCCCTTTCTTTCAGCCCTTTACCAAAGGGTTGGCTGGCACAAGGAACTTCCTTGGGGCCCATGGTTGCTTATTTAGTAGCTGCAAGCACTAAAAAGAATGGAATAATACGAAATGTATCGTATGAACGCGTGGGATTGTGCTCACTGGCTGATAAACAATGGCACACTGAGTGTTGGGCCGCTGTTGCCATGCGGATGCATTCGGGATGAATGACTATTACCGAGCACAATGACGATCACTGATCCAATGTTTTGATGAAAAAAAGTTACTATTTCCAAATACAGTGGACCCCCGCATAACAATCAGCTCCCAACGCGACCGATTAATTAAGTGTATTTTTGTAAGTGCTTTTGTAGGTGTATTTTTGGGAGTCTGAAACAGATTAATCTACTTCACAATATCTCTTATGGGAACAAATTCGGTCTATAACGACACCCAAACAGACTTCTGGATTGAAAAAATATCGTTATGCGGGGGTCCACTGTATTATGAAATCTGATGACTATGAAATCTGGGGATCCACTGTACTTATAACTCCTGTTCAATGTGGGGCTAATAATTTTGTAATTAACTGTTCAGTAAGTGACTGTATTATATACCAATAGGTCCTACAAAACCAAGAATTTTTAACGAATATATTTAACATTTAAGTAGGCAGTAGGTTGGTAGACAGCAACTGCCCAGGGAGGTACTACCGTCCTGCCAAGTGAGTGTAAAACGAAAGCCTGTAATTGTTTTACATGATGGTAGGATTGCTGGTGTCTTTTGTCTGTCTCATAAATATGCAAGATTACAGGTACATCCTGCTACTTCTACTTACACTTAGGTCATACTACACATACATGTACAAACACATATATATACACACCCCTCTGGGTTTTCTTCTATTTTCTTTCTAGTTCTTGTTCTTGTTTATTTCCTCATCTCCATGGGGAAGTGGAACAGAATTCTTCCTCCGTAAGCCATGCGTGTTGTAAGAGGCGACTAAAATGCTGGGAGCAAGGGGCTAGTAACCCCTTCTCCTGTATAAATTACCAAATTTAAAAGGAGAAACTTTCGTTTTTCTTTTTGAGCCACCCTGCCTTGGTGGGATACAGCCGTTTTGTTGAGAAAAACATAAAAAAAAAATTAACATTTAATAAAAAATGTGTAAGCTAAAGTTTAAGACAATATCCATTCATACTTTCAATGACAAACATAATAAACAATAGCATAAATAATTAGACATTTCCCTCATTAAAATCTAAATATATTATTAACTCGCCTATTAAAGTTGCTTCATTTTCTTCTTGATGGAGACCTGGCCAAGAAAGAAAAACCGACACTGTTGTGAAGAGCAGAGTGTTGACTTTTATCAATGGCTGCATTTTTTCAGTGAACATTCCCGGGGCATCCATCACTCCATCATTATCAGCAATCATACTCTATAAATGAGAAATATAGGCATCAATCACATTATATGTCACAGGAACTTGTAAGTAAATGAATACATTATTAAAATGTAGTACGACCTTGAAGATAAAAACTATAATATATTTCTAACCATGTATTCAATGGGGGGTTCTGATGATGGGCTCTTAATCCAAGATACAAGGCCTACTCTCCCTTTCCTTGAATCAAACTTAACTTCCAATTCCCCAGGCACTGTATGACTACAGGTTTAGCACTTCCCCATGACTAATAATAATAATAATCATACCCATGTAATTTCCTAGGTAGTAGGTTGGTAGACAGCAACCACCCAGGGAGGTACTACTGTCCTGCCAAGTGAGTGTAAAACGAAAGCCTGTAATTGTTTTACATGAAGGTAGGATTGCTGGTGTCCTTTTTTCTGTCTCATGAACATGCAAGATTTCAGGTACGTCTTGCTACTTCTACTTACACTTAGGTCACATTACACATACATGTACAAGCATATATATATATACACACCCCTTTGGGTTTTCTTCTATTTTCTTTCTAGTTCTTATTCTTGTTTATTTCCTCTTACCTCCATGGGGAAGTGGAACAGAATTCTTCCTCCGTAAGCCATGCGTGTTGTAAGAGGCAACTAAAATGCCGGGAGCAAGGGGCTAGTAACCCCTTCTCCTGTATATATTACTAAATGTAAAAGGAGAAACTTTCGTTTTTCCTTTTGGGCCACCCCACCTCGGTGGGATACGGCTGATGTGTTGAAAGAAAGAAAAAGGAGAAACTTTTGTTTTTCCTTTTGGGCCACCCCGCCTCGGTGGGATACGGCCAGTGTGTTGAAAGAAAGAAAGTAAAAGGAGAAACTTCCGTTTTTCCTTTTGGGCCACCCCGCCTCGGTGGGATACGGCTGGTGTGTTGAAAGAAAGAAAGACCCATGTAATTTAACTTCATACATCTTTTGCCTACTGAAGCACTAAATACTGTAGCTCAAAGAATTTTCCAAACAATCTAAGCACAGCTCTTCTATATTGCTTCATGGTATCCCCTCTTTCATAGCCACTCTCCTACCTGAATTTCTAAACCAATGTAAAAATTTTAACTATAAATATACCTGTGTAAAACAAGCTGAAAAGCATATGGAAAAAACAGGCTTAGACTGCTTAGAAGTTCCAATACAACCACCCAAATTTTCTTGCTAGGTCTTAAAATTTAAAAAAAAAAAAAAATGTAATTGTAGGTCGATGTAGTGACGTGCATCAAGCTAAGATCCCGCATCTACATCTCTACTAACATATGGAGGTGCTTTATCGATTGTCAAACTCAATGCAACCGTATGGGGGTTATAAAGGAGGGGTTAGAGTGGTTGAGGTGTATGGGTTGGGGTGTATGCAAGAAGGGTTACTTCAGTTGGGGTGAAGGGGTTTGGTGTGAGGGTGGGTGACTAGGAGGGTGGGAACCGGGAGTCTGCTGGTGTGGGAGATCGAGACCGAGTAGTGGAGGGATGGGGGCAGGAGCTGGAGGCTGTTGTTGGGAGGTGGAGGATTCTGGGCAGATGAAGAGTGTGGGGAGGATGGGGCGCTAAAAGCAATGGGGCAGTGTGATGGTAACAGAGTGAATGGCAGTGTAGATGGCCAGGTGTGAGTGATGATGGATGACTCAGTGGGTGAATGCAGTTGGTGGCAACATAACTAAATCTATGTATGGCATGTTAGGGTGTGTGGGCCATGAAAGCATGGAAAAGGTGTGGGTGCTGGTCTGTGGGAATGGGGGTGTGTAGGCTTCAAGTTGTGGGATAGTGGTGTGGGTAGAGGTCACAGGGGCTTGAGGCTGTTGGGGAGTGATGTGTCAATGAACTGGTGTGGGTGGTGGTGATGGGGGTTATGTGCGTGTGGTTGGTGGTATGAACAGTAATGAGGGTGGTGTGTGGACGGCATCTTATGGTAAAAGGTGGAGTAAGATGAGGGTGTGAGGTCATGGGGAAATTGAGGGTGAGGGTGTGGGGCTGGGCAAGGTGTGGTCTTGGGGATGTGGCTGTGGGAGAATGGTATAAGTGTAAGCATGTTGCTGTGGTGGGAACTGTATGGGCGAGTTGTGTGAGTAGAGGTTGCTGATTAAGATGGTGTGGGTGAAGGTGTGTGGCTGTAGGGGAGTTGTGTGAGTGGAGGTTGCTGATTAAGATGGTGTGGGTGAAGGTGTGTGGCTGTAGGGGAGTTGTGTAGGTGGAGGTTGCTGATCAGGATGGTGTGGGTGAAGATGTGTGGCTGTAGGAGAATTGTGTAGGTGGAAGTTGCTGGGTGTGCGGCAGGGAATGGGTGGAGGCAAGAGGTATGGTAGAGGCTCATGGCTGAGGTATGATACTGGATACCTATGAAAGGAGCACCAAGGTGATGGAGGTTGCGTACATCAAGTAGGCCTTCCTCGTAAGACAATAGACTTGCCCATATGCTCACGAAGAGACAGAGGGGAAAAGAACCCAGCATGTGCTACATTAATACACTGTTCACCAAAAATATGCCACAATTCTGCAAATGTGTTAATGCAAAAAAAAGTGTTAACAAATCGTGTTAACCAATGGTCTACTGTATATTCTTCTTCTTTTCTTTCAGCAAACTGGCTGTATCCCACCAAAGCAGGGTTGCCCAAAAAGAAAAACGAAAGTTTCTCTTTTAAACTTTAGTAATATATACAGGAGAAGGGAGTAAGAGCCTCTTGCTTCCGGCATTTTAGTTGTCTCTTATGACACTCATGGCTTACGAAGGAAGAATTCTGTTCCACTTCCCCATGGAGATAAGAGGAAATAAAGAAAAACAAGAACTAGAAAGAAAATAGAAGAAAACCCAGAGGGGTGTGTATATATCTTCTTTCTTTCAACGCACTGGCTGTATCCCACCGAGGCAGGGTGGCCCACCGAGGCAGGGTGGCCCAAAAGGAAAAACGAAAGTTTCTACTTTTACATTTAGTAATATATACTGGAGAAGAGGTTACTAGTCCCTTGCTCCCGGCATTTTAGTCGCCTCTTACAACACGCATGGCTTACGGAGGAACAATTCTGTTCCACTTCCCCATGGAGATAAGAGGAAATAAACAAGAATAAGAACTAGAAAGAAAACAGAAGAAAAACCAGAGGGGTGTGTGTATATATGCTTGTACATGTATATGTAGTGTGACCTAAGTGTAAGTAGAAGTAGCAAGACATACCTGAAACCTTGCATGTTTATGAGACAGAAAAAAGACACCAGCACTCCTACCATCATGTAAAACAATTACAAGCTTCCGTTTTACACTCATTTGGCAGGACAGTAGTACCTCCCTGGGCGGTTGCCGTCTACCATCCTACTACCAGGACGGTAGTACCTCCCTGGGTGGTTGCTGTCTACCATCCTACTACCAGGACGGTAGTACCTCCCTGGGCGGTTGCTGTCTACCAGCCTACTACCAGGACGGTAGTACCTCCCTGGGCGGTTGCCGTCAACCATCCTACTACCAGGACGGTAGTACCTCCCTGGGTGGTTGCTGTCTACCAGCCTACTACCAGGACGGTAGTACCTCCCTGGGCGGTTGTTGTCTACCATCCTACTACCAGGACGGTAGTACCTCCCTGGGTGGTTGCCATCAACCATCCTACTACCAGGACGGTAGTACCTCCCTGGGTGGTTGTTGTCTACCAGCCTACTACCAGGATGGTAGTACCTCCCTGGGTGGTTGTTGTCTACCAGCCTACTACCTTGGTCTACTGTATATAGTTCACTTAATTAAATTTAATCTCTTAATTTTTGTATAAAGAATAAATTTCACAATACCAAGACTGGAACAATTCACAACTTTAGAACTTACATTATAAATATGAACATATTATATAGATAAGTGTTATATATGAAGTGCCTATGGTCATAAAATTCAACAAAGTGACCATTATACAGTACCAACCTGAAAGAAACCACTAATTGTTTCAAGGTGAACACAGACTGGCTTGAGAAACCTAAGAGCTCGTTGAGCAACCTCAGCCGGTGTAAAGAGGTCGAGGTGGGAGTAGCCGATACCTTAAACAACATGCACATTATTAGTAATATAAAAAAAAAAAAATTTACATCAGCCAGTCTCCACAAAGGCTGAGTGGCTCAAATACAACACATTTGTCATTATTCATTCAACAGCTGCCTTGCCAGAAGTATGCAGACATCACAATTAAAATTCTGTCAATACTGTATTATTATTATTATTATGCTCCTCTAAAAAGAAAAGCTTTCGTTTTTCTTTTTAGGTCACCCTGCCTTGGTGGGATATGGCCAGTATGTTGAAAGAAATTGTTTTACAAGATCTAATAGTGAAAGGAATTCAGTATTCTTGTATATTTTCACAAAGTGGATAAACAATGAGTTACAGGAATTGCTCACTTTTTTCTGGATTACTGCCAAGCACTGATGCTCGTTTGTTCGTGGATCCAAACACATGCATAAGTTTGAAGTTTAGATCAGTCAGCAGAAATTCAGCTTCTGATAATGTTAACTGAGCTTTAACCTGAAAACAAGAGAAATATGTCATTTTTTTAAGTAACTACATAAGGTAAGCAGACATGTGGTTTTAGGGATTTAACCCTTAAACTGTCCAAACATAGATCTACGTTTTTTCAACATTTGAAAGTATGTAAAAAAGTAGATCTTTTCTTTTTTTTTTCATTTGAAAATGTGTAAAAAAAAACTTTGATCTACTTTTTTTTTTTTGTAATATTTGAAAATATGTAAAAAAACGTAGATCTACTTTTGGAGCACTATGCTTGTGAACGTAAATTTGTTTGGACAGTTTAAGGGTTAATGTAAGTCATAACCAATAATGATTCCCTAAAATTTCCTCTACAAATCACCCTAAGACCTGAAACTGGACTGTGGGAGTAATGGCTTAATGAGCTATCATAAATGCAGGTGAGAGATGGTCAGCATAACAAGGGTTCTCCATATGTACTATTAGATGTCATCTAATTTTTTGTAAAAACTATGTACATTGTGGGAAAAAAATTATTATGATCATTACTATTATAATTCTTATAGATACAGAACAAAGCACACTTGCCTGCAACTCAGTGTCCAGAGCCAACTTTCTGAACAGAAGACAAAACACATCAAGGTGAAGCTCTCTGAAGAATGGCCGAAGACAATTCATGTTTACCGATGATGATACCTTTATTTTAGTAATGAAGGAAAACATCACATTAAACCTATAATATGGCTGGTTTGTTGAAAGAAGAAGAATACTGAGAAGTTTTCAACCCATGCTTTACTTTCTACAAATAAAATTTTGTGCAGTATCAATAACCATACTGTTGTGATATGAAAACAATCATGATCCATCACACAAGCAATAAATTCACTTCAAAATAAATTCATTCACACTACAAGTGACCTACTGTTCATCCTATAATTCAAAGCCTCTAATTTAGAGGAACAAATCTCAACTTATTACAAATTATTACATTCTTGAGGAGAATCAAAACCACAGGGGGTCAAACAGTGACTGGGAGCCAGTAAGTAATCAAGTTTAATCCAAGGAAAAGAAGGGTAGCTCCAATTCCTTTTTTCAAGAGACCTCCACCAGCATCAAGGCATCTCTTGAGGGAAACCCCCTTCAAAAGAAAAAATATATATTCGTTTTAGAAGAACTCCATCAACATAAATCCTCAATAAAATCGTTACTGACCTCTGGAGTTTCAGAGTCCTTTTCCCCAGGTAGTGTCAGGAGTGCAGGCTGAGTGGTGGGTAGTGTGGCAGGCTGTGAAGGTGCTGGGGTGCCCATTTGTGTTGCTTCTGTTGTGCTCTCCTTGCCTTTATTTTTCTTCCTTAAAATAAAGATACAGTCTTATAAAGCTGCTCTATATAGTGTGGCTGGGAAAGAGCATCAAAAATTGAATAGCACATACATTAAAGGCTTTGACATGTTCTATTTAGTTTTTGATTCACTCAATCACATTTGCAAACAGTTCCACTCTATAGAAGAGCTTTATAAGAGAGCCAACTGTATTAAGATTTTTGTTTTAATAAAATATAATCAAGTTTACTCTCAAATATTTGCAAAGTTTGATCCTAATGTTTCACCATTTTTTTTTTTTTTTAACAAGTCGGCCGTCTCTCACCGAGGCAGGGTGACCCAAAAAGAAAGAAAATCCCCAAAAAGAAAATACTTTCATCATCATTCAACACTTTCACCTCACTCACACATTATCACTGTTTTTGCAGAGGTGCTCAGAACACAACAGTTATGATGGCATTTCAGTCTAACATGGACCCCTGTGCGACTACTTAATGGGCCAAGTTGGACTGAAAAGTCATCATAAGTTTCAGTCTCCTACATGCAGGTTATCTGTGTAACTAACCCTTTCTTAGGTGCTGGCTTCCGTCCCCTCTTTCCTTTCTTTGCAATAGGTATTGTGAATGTAGGTAAAGTTGTAGATGTGTCTAGATCAAACACTGCCAGAGGTGGAGAGTAGCTGCCACACTTAGGCAAGAGCTGTGATAACATATTCTGAAGCTGAATTACTTGCTGTACACGTGAAAATACCTGCAAACATACAACAATGCCATATTATCCATTATCTCCAGTTTTAGTAACAATAAATACTCTTTCCTTTACAACACATCATTTACAATGGAAACTTTCCCTATTTTTTTTTCAACATGATGGCCGTCTCCCACCGAGGCAGGGTGGCCCAAAAAAGAAAGTAACATTTTCACCATCACTCGCACAAAATCACTGTCTTTGCAGAGGAGCCCAGATATGAAAGTTTAGATGTCACTCCAAACAGCCAATATCCTAAACCCCTCCTTTAAAGTGCAGACATTGTACTTCCCACCTCCAGGACTCTAAAGTCCAGCTAACTGGGTTCCCTATACGGTACTATTATTTTTATGGGGAAGCACTAAGCCAGTAAAGATCATATGGCACCTGGGGAATGGGACATAATTAGGTTTGATCCAAAGGAAGGGTAGCCTCAATTCCTTGAATCAAGAGCCCTTCAACAGTATCAAGGCACTCAAGAGATATTACATGCACCAAATTCCATCACCTTATAAAATTCCTCATTATTATTATACCATTTAAATTTCTGTTGTGCAATACAGTAATACTGTACTGTATTTTTATCATTCAAAATTAAACATACTTCCATATTATACTGGTAATTGCTTAACTTTCCTAAATACAGTAGCCACTTTCTCAACCAAAGATCAATACATCTGATCCAAAAATAAGAGAAAACCATTCTTTGTTAATGGTTTTTTTAATAGTGAAGGGCTAAAATAAATGATTACTAACCTTTTGCTTAAGCTCACTATCCTTTTGTGTAACAAAGGCATTAATAAGTTCAAGAAACCAATTTATGGTGTAAAATAGACATGAGAGTGCTGCATAGTCTAATACAAAGGTTACTTGAAAGTCATCAGTCATCTTCTCGCACACCCATTCCTGAGGAGAAAGATAGACAATACCTCTGATGAGTTTTGAGTCTCACTACTCTTGGAGCTCGGACATGGGCCAGGCTCGTCTGGTGCTTGCCTGGTCACCCAGGCTGTTGTTTTAATACACAGGTTGTCTTCCACCGAGGCAGGGAGACACAAAAAAAAAGAAGAAACACTTTCATCATCACTCACTCAATCACTATCTTGCCAAAAGCATGATGACATCACATGGAAAAAAGTGTAAATCATAGAGAATAAACACACTGCTTCAACTAACAGACAAGCATTTTTTTATTGCATTAAGTTTTTCCAACAAAGGTAGGGTGGGAAACACTTAATGCAGTTAATGCTTATACCGTATATGTCATATTACACATACTATGTAAGTACCTGATAAATGTCCTCAGACACTGCTAATTCTTTTATTTTGCAATCAGCAAATCTTTTAAAGATTTTTGACCCTTTACAATCATAGACCATTAATAAGTAATCATAAACCATAAACAAGTAATCAAACAGGTAGTATTTGTGTAGTTATTTGTGTATCGTTCCAATCACGGTATTGTGCCTTTTTGTTATTTAAACAGGTAGTAAGCTTCAATACACTGTACACAATTTACCTTTTGTTTCTGCTACTATCTCCTGCCAAGCAGGGGTGACCAAGAAAACAGGAAACCCAAAGAAGAAACCACATTTACTATCATTCCTTCAATTGCTGACTTGCCACAAATGTAGTGATATCACAATTCAGAATATACCTCCAACTGCAACATCCCCATCCTCCCTCAGAGTCCAAACACTGTACCTCCATTTTCAGAGCTCAATTCCAGCTAACTGGTTACCTTGCTCATATTCCAACAGCACGTCCGTTATTAAAAACCACTCGTTTCTACTCACTCCTATCTAACATGCTCACACGAGCCTGCTGGATGATCAAGCCCCTACAACTCAAAGCCTAGTTTACCCTCCTCCCTCCAGCCATTCCTGGGGCCAACTTCTAACCCCAGATTTATACAACTTCTTCATCACTGTATCCCTCTTCATGCTCTCTACCTGCCCAATATACACATATAGTGGTACCTCGAGTTACGAACTTAATTCGTTCCAGAAGGCTGTTCGAGTGCCAATACAGAACGAATTTGTTCCCATAAGGAATAATGTAAATTAGATTAGCCCATTTCAGACCCCCAAAAATACACTTACAAAAGCACTCACAAAAATACACTCACATAATTGTTCAAGTTGGGAGCTGTTCGAAACTCGAGGTACCATTGCATATACAAAATAAACTATAAAAATTAGTACCTCTAGCTTGGAGTTCATTCCTTCCTTAAGGATGATAGATGCCATTTCATCCATAAATAATGCAGAAGCAGTTGGTGACTTAGCTGTGGAGGAGAGCACCAGATGGAGGAGGTTTTCTGCCTCCTTCAGCAGAGAAGAATTGAGTGCAGATGACGATGCCTTGCCACTTGATGTGATCAAGCTATCCTGGCTATCATCCTGTCCCACCATGTTTTTCACAACAAGTGCAGCATTCAGCACACCAATGAGCTTGTACCTGTAAGGAAGATTTTATAAAAATTTTTTTTTTTTTTTTTATCACACTGGTCTTTTCCTGCCAAGGAGCGTGACCCAAGAAAGAAAGTCCATTCACTATCACTCATTCAGTAGCTGCACTGCCAGAAATGCATAGACATCACAATTTAAATGGCCCTCCAAGTTACATATCTCCAACCATCCTTCACTAAGAGGCTCAGGAGCAAATTTACTTAATAATTCCTCTGGCAAGTCATGTGTTCAAATGAAAATCATTATCGGGGCAGGTAGTGATTCCTCTGGGATCCTTCTAGTATTGTGTAACATACCTGTGACTGGTTTTGAGTTTTACTCTTGAAGTCAGCCTAAAGCCACATGTTATGTTGAGGTCATTTTTTCGTTTACCACTGCTGTCATTTTTCATTTAAAAATCTCTCATCCCTTGCAGTAGACTACCTTTTATGCCTCCTGTTTTGTAGTTTTCAGCTTACCCTCTCAAAGGGAAAACATCAAAAACTATTTTTTGTAGCTAGAGTAAATGTAGTCTACATATGCTTTTATATTCCCATAGACAGTCTACAGGACTGGTCATTCACTGTTGCAGCATCTCAAAGAAAAGAACTTACTTCTCAAAAGTAGTAACTATGTGAGCTACACTGTGAATTCAATATAAAAATCTGTATTATGAACAAACACATTTCAAGCTTTAAGACAACAGTAATGTTCTTACAGCATTATTTGTATGTCCTGAGAATATTAAAAAGTGGAAAAATAAAAGTATTCCTACCAAATATCCCTAGCAAGAACAATTTGTGTTACTGATGTTTCAGCTTGTCAACAAATTGTTTACAAAGAAAACAATAGTACAAATGATAGATACGCTTTACAAATATGTATTGTGGCTCACTGGTTATAAGACCTTAATTGGTCCCTAAGTACCCCGTTTATAAAGTGTGGATGTGTTTACCATGAATTTTTTTTTAAGTTGCGCACCTCTTTTAATAAGAAAAATAGAAGCTCCAATGTACTTCAAGTCAGAATGCAAGAGATCTTTGTAAACCAGAATGACAAGCTCATTTTGCTGGTCAAAGAAAATTTAACATTAAACGAAAATGCAAATGCAAACATACTTCAAGTCAGAGTGAGAGAGCTGTTTGCGCACCAGGATGACAAGCTCATCTTGAAGCGCAGCGTGAGAGGACTCAGAGTATGCTAAAAGGCTTACCACATCAAGAAGCTTCTTCACTTCCCCCATTCCCAATTCATCTACCATGTCTAAGGATCCCTGGTAAAATAAATTTTATTTTTTAAAATTATGCAAAACAAAATACAGAAATTAAAATCTAATTAACTATTCATATTGAGAATAAGACATTCGGAAAATCAACTGAAAGGAAAGGGGATGAAGGGGTGAAAGGATGGATAAGAGAAGGGTGCAGGAAGGGAAGGAAGGGGAGAAGGGAGGAAAAATGACTAGGAAGGGGAAAGAAAAATGGTGTAGAAGGGTAAGGAGGATTGGAGGAAGGAGGAAGAGAAGAGAGTAAAGGAAATGAAGGGCAGAGGAGTATGGCAGAGGAGAAAAGGTGAAGAAATGCAGGAAACAGGAAGACAAAGCATAGAAGAGGGAGGGGAAGAAGAACCAGGAACAAGCCTATTGGTGGAGAAAAAAATGGTAAAACTTCATATGAAGGAAAAAATTTACATTTTGAACACAAAATTGGGGCTCTTGGTACAAAATATAATACATGACCTTTCCTACATATACAGTAACACAGTGGGACAGTTTCACCATTTTCTATAACATTCCAGGAAATTTTTATATTGACAGCCATTATACATCTGATTTTCAACTATATTTCAGTTTTCAAGAATGTGGGAACTGTGTGTAATAAAATGGTTAAGAAGTACAAAAAATACCTTGAGAAAAATGGTGAACTTTGACATGGCAGCAGTATGCTCACGAGCTAGGGAAGACAAGAGAGACAATGCAGTTAATCTCACTGCAGGGTTGTCTCCAAGGTGCCTCAAGAGAGATAAAACTATCTCTTGCCTCTGATAGCCATCTAGATGCACGAAACTTAACCTTGTAAAAATATAGGAAAGGGAAGAATTATTGATGTACATTATCACTTTGAGACTTCTAAAGACAACAAATCAAAGTATTGTACAGTGGAACCTCGGTACTCAAACAGCTCCCTACTCAAACAATTTGGTTTATCAAATGCTTTGTTCGGTAAAAAAAATTGCTCGGTAGTTGATTGTTTGCGTGGCACTCGACCAAACAAACACAACTAGCCAGAACTTCGCTGTAAACTATTTCATGTTTCTTTTCATTTTTTGGCATTTTTTTATATTATTTGTGTAAGTCACCATGGAGCCTAAGAAGATTAGTGATAACAGCCAACCAAAAAGAAAATTGGTCGGGAAAAATTAATTTGTTACTCAAACAGATCAGCACTCAAATAGCCTTCTGGAACGAATTAGGTTCGAGTACCGAGGTTCCACTGTACTATAGTATTATTCAAAAGAAGTGAATTCATATCTTTACCACACTGGCTATTTACCACAATATAAGGTGCATTAAATGTAGCCATATTCAGTAACACTGATTGTTTCCCACCAAGGTGGTGTGAATTACACGTAACCACATTCACTCACACTGACACTTGGTCAAGATAGGGTAAATTAAATTTATTTTTTAACACACTAGCCATCTCCCACCAAGGCAGGGTGACCTGGAAAAAAAAATTTTTTGTCATCATTCACACTATCATTGTCTTGCAAAATATTCAGTCACTGTAATGCTAGGTTCCTAGGCCAGAACAACTATTCTCTCATACCAAAATGCAATTCCTCAGACGAAAAGCCTTTCACTAGCATCACAATGCTCCACTTAAAAGAAGAGTAGAAGTTATGAATATGGAGGACAGATAACAGATGAAGCAACAGTAGAACTTAAGCCAAAATATTAGAGATGTCAAGGGAAAAAGAGAAGGTTGAACCTAGTCAAGAAACAGAAGTGTGTCTGCAAAACAGAGACAAAGGGAAAATAGACACTTAGTGACCAACTTTTTCAAATCTTTAGAAATACACAAAAAACCTGGGAATATACAAGTGGAGTGAGGATCATAGATGTGTAGGTGACCCAAGCACATGAACATCTGTAAAGGCTGAGCCAAGGAGTTTGATGAGAAAAAAAGATTTGACAAGCTAAAAAATTCTTTTATCCCTGTATTTCTATGATGTTGTCTGTGGTAAATTAATTACCTCTGGTCTGACTATGCCCTTCTAATGTCTGTTGGAACACAGATCTGTAAATTCCCAGTCAATCCACAGAAGAACATAGGCAGTGCCTTATCTTGCAACTTGTGAGTATTTAATGCCTCTTATGCCCAAATTAGAATTGAGTCTTTGTCAAATGATGACCTACTCGGTAATTAAGCAACCTTAGACTTGCTGGTGCTGGGTATCAGTGATCAAACAACTGCTGGACTCCCAGTACTACATGCCTATGATTGAATTACCCAACACAAAATACTGACAACAGATTCATGTACCACTTGTAGTTTATTAGGTAAACAGATTAGTTTCAATATTATTCCCCCAAAAAAACCCCTTTTACCTAAACAAAGTGGCTCCTCCTGGCAAAACAAAAAATTTTGGGGCCCCCCGCAAAAGCGGGTTTTTCTTCAAGGTTAAAAATTTTTTTTTAGTACCTAAGAATATTTTAAAAAAAATTAATAAATTTAAAAATTATTGTCCCGACACCAAATTTGAAATTTTAATTTAAAGGGGAAAAGTCCCTGGGGCCCGGGGTCATGCAGTTTTTGGGGGGAAATAAAGGGGGAAATTTCGGGTTTTGGTACAAGAATGGGGTTGCTCCAATTCCTTGAAGGGGAGCTCTTAATGACATGGGGGGCCCCTCCTTCTAAGGATACGCCAACTCATGAGGGACAAATATATAAACAATAAATTTGTTAAACACAAAATATACGGGTATATAGTGTTAAAACATTTATGTTTTTATCTTTTTTATGTTTTTCTTAAAAATGTAAAAAAAAGAGATTTGAAAACTGCAGCGCGGGTTATTTTGAACTTAGGGATGAAGTGAAAAAAGATTTTGTGCACCCACCAGATTTTCCCAGTCTCCAAAAATGATGTACTGTAAACCCAAACAAAATTTCAAAACCCAAAGATACTTAGAAACTAAAAATATTTATTTTTGGGTACTAAAAGCATCAATAGGGCCCTTAAAGAAAAAAAAGGGCAAATCCCAAATGACTGGAATAACACACAAATAACTTACACATAGAGAAAGAAATTAGACGTGTGTTACTAGGTTTAAGGGCCCAAAACGGACCAAAACATCCCCTTTAAAAAAATTTTTCCTTTTCCCCCTGGGGGGGTTAATTTAAGTTTTCAAAATGGTCTTTAGAACTGTTTTTATACAATATTTCTTAGAAATTAAATTCCCAGAGATTTTTTTTCCAGATTTTAAATCAAAAAAGAATTTTATAAATCTTAAAATTTTAGAAAAATCCACGTCCCCCAAACAATGGCAGGAGGGGCCCCCATGCTTTGATCAAAACATGAGGAAAGTTGTAAATATCATCAGTGGCTCCCCGTCATGGATAATTTTGGGAAAATTACTACTGTATTTAGAGAAGAGAGGGAAAGGGAAAAAGGGAAAAAAGAGGGGGGTGGGGAAAAGAAGAGTTGGGGGAAAGGTTTAAATAGGGAAGAAAAAGAGAGGGAAAAAAGGGGAAAAAAGACCGGGAAAAAAGGGTTTTAGTTTACCCTTTTGTCAATTTTTTTTGCCCAAACCGTGGAAACCCAAAAATCCAAAAATTAAAAACCCTTCCCGGACTAGTTCTAAATTTGAAAAGTCCGGGAAAATTTGAAACAATATTTCCCAAAAAAAAATAATGGAAATACCCAAATTTAATTTCCCTTTTATAAACCCCAAAAAAATTCAAAAAATAAAAACATTTTATGAGATTAATTACATTTTTACATACACACAAAAATGCTATAGTCTTTAATTAAGTATAGTAATATAAAATAACATTTTTCTTACCCCTTTTTTTAAAATTGGTGAAAGGGATCTGGAAGATAGGGAGGAGGGGAGAGGGGGTTGGGGGGTTTTTTTGGAAAGGGGAATCCCCCCCCATGAGGGCTTCCCGGATCAAAGCCCTTTTCCCGGGGTTGCTTTTTCCCCTTTTCTGTAAATTTTTAAAGCCAGGGCCCCGCTTGAGTCAAAGGACCCCCGTCCACAAAAAAACTCTCTACGTCCCGTTTCTGTCTCAACCAAAAAAAAACTATCCACATCATTGTTTCTGGCTCACAAAATAAATGTCCCAATCCCTTTTGTCTACAAATTAAAATCCCAGTCGTTGTTTCTGTCCCCCAAAAAAAACTCCCAGTCATTTTTTCTGTCTCACAAAATAAATGGGGCCCCAGTCGTCCCGTTTCTGCTCACAAAATAAAAGTTTCCCCAATCGGTTTTTTGTCTCACAAAATAACTCCACAGTCGTTGTTTCTGTCCCAAAATAACTCCCCATCCTCTGGTTTTTTTGTCACAAAATAACTCCCCCAGTCTTTTGTTTCGTCCACAAAATAATCCCCAGTCATTGTTTCGTTCCCCAAAATAAATGTCCCCTCAACTTTTTTTCTGTCCCCACAAAATAAAATGTCCACAGTCTCTTTTTTTTTGTTTCACAAAATAATGTCCCCAGTCCTCTGTACATCCTGGCAAGTCAACAAGTCTCCCCCCCCTCCTATTTGTCTTATTTCTTTTTACCTCTATTGGGGTTTCTCCCCTTTTTTTACCACAGGGGACCGTAGCAAGTTTCTTTGGGGCCCCTGGGAGCTTTTTTCCAGCCCCACAAGCACTAAACACAATTTTAAAAAATCGAAAAAAGTGGAATATCCCTTCGCTCTAAATGACCAAAACCCCTCCAAAAAACCCCCCTTCCCGCCCTCTGTAAACCTTTTTTTTAACTCCACACCTTTTTCCCAATTTCCACACTCCGAATTTTTGCATAATATTTACATCACACATTTCCCTTTGACAGGACCAAACTCCCTGCCTCCCAAAAATTTTCCCGTTTCAGCATTCCACCCAAACTTTTTACACCCATATAAGAGGGTTTGGGACTATTAAACTTTCATACATTCCCCTTTTTTGGGGCCCCCAAAAAATAACGTTTTTTTTTACTCCCCAAAATATCAATGCCCCCCTCACCTTTTTCCCTCATCAATTTTTATGATTAACCTATCCTTCATAAATCCCCTCCGCCGAACCCTCAAAAACCCCCAAATATTGAAAAAAATTCACTTTTACCAACTCCCCTCCCCAATTTTAAAATCCCAATTTTTTTTTATCTAAATCCCTTTGGTACCCCTTTACCTTACTTTTTTTCTATGTTTACTTTCAACTTTCCCTTTTTACACAAATTTCCCCAAAAACATCCACAAACCTTTGCAATTTTTCTTCAAAATCTCCCCCTAAGCACAGTACAACACAAAAAATAAATGTGTTAAAATTCCCAAATTTTAATTTTTTCCCCATAAAATTTAAACCCACCCCTCTCCCCAACACCTTAGCATTTACTTCCTTTTCCCCAAACCCCCCTTATAAATAAAAATTTTTAAAAAACCAAGGGGACATTACACATCCCTTTTTAAGACCTACTTTTACCGGGAAGTAGTCTCCCCTCTTCTACACACCCTAACCTGACCCTCAATCCTATAAAAATCTTTACGCATTTAGTAACTTACACCTTTCCAAAACAGTGGACCCCCGCTGAAACCCCTTTGCATAGGAAAAATCCCATAGGGACGTTTTTGTTCGCAAAAATTTTGCCCCGCATAGTGGACAAAAACCCCCCTCAGGGGCCTTCGTCCGGCCGCCCAATGTGCCCCCCTCGCCCCCTAAATGTCCCCGCCCATGCCTTTGTTTACCCCCACCCTCCGGGTAACTTTTAAAGCATACATGGGAATTTTTTCGTATTTTTACAGTGTTTTCGGTGCTTTTTTGGGGAAAATGTGACCATGGGCCCCAAGAAAGCTTCTGTCCAACCCACACCTAAAAGGGTAAAAATACCTTGAAATGAAGAAAGAGACTTTGATAAGTAGAAAGGGGAGTAGTATCAGACCGGGCAGGTTGAAAAAGAAACCAAAATAAACCCATCTCTTCTATTGGGGGGCAAAAAAACGGCAATAAAGGAAGCTGTTGTTGCCAAAGGTTTAACTGTGTTTGAAAAAAGATCGCAAGTGATGGAAGATGTTGAGAGATTTATTGGTGTGGATAAAGAAAAACAGCTAGCGGGAGATAGCGTCTCTCAAGCGATCATTGTGAAAAGGCTAGAAGTTGCATGACAAATTAAATTTAAAAAAATGCCTGCAATAGTGAGATGTGAGTAAATTTAAGGCCGCAAAGGTTGGTTTGAGAGATTTAGAAGCGTGGGCATCCTAGTGTGATACGGCATGGTGAGGTGCCAGTTCGGACCAAAGCGGCGAAAAATTGTGATGAATTAAAGGAGTCATAGAAACTAAAGGGGACTGGAACCCCTGAAAAAGTGTTTATTTGTGATGAAACAGGCCTGTTCGGGAAGAAAATGCCGGGCGGACCTCATTACTCAGGAGGAAAAGGGCACTCCCAGGACTAAGCCTATGAAAGACAGGCTTACTTTTTTATGTGTGCCAATGCTAGTGGTGTTGCAAAGTTAAGCCTTTATTAGTGTATCACTCTGAAACCCCCAGAGCTTTTCAGGCAAAAATGTCCTCAAGGGATAATTTGTTGTGCTGTGGAGGGCAAACAGTAGGCATGGGTCACTGGGAATTTTTTATAACGGGTTACACCATGCATTTGCCCCAATGTGAAAGATTACCAACTGAAAAGAAATTGACCTTAAGTGCCCCCTGGTGTTAACAATGCCCCGGGTCATCCCACAGACGTGGCAGAGCGACTTTATGGGGACATGAGTTCTTAAGGTGAAGTTTTTGCCTCCTAATACCCCTCCTCTCCCCGCAGCCCCTGGACCAGCAGGTCATTTTTAAAATTCAAGAAAAATGTTTTACAAAAGCTCTTTTTTCAAAAGTGTTTGAAGTGACCACGACACTCGTTGATCTAAAAGATTTTGGGAAAGGGTCACTTTAATATCCTAATTGTGTAAAACCCATAGGAAGGTTGGGGGGAGTGACTAAGAGAACCTTTAACCCCTTGGAAAAACTGTGGCCAGAATGTGTAAAAAAAGGGATTTTTTAAGGGTTTTAGGCTAAACCCCTGAGAGGGGGTGTATACCAGTTGAGGAATCAATTGTGGAATTGGGGAAGTCCTTGGGGTTGGAGGTTAGTGGGGGGGGGATGTGGAAGGTTGGTGGAGGAGGACAATGAAGAACTAAACCCCCTGATGAGCTGATAGATCAACTTCAAAGGGAAGAGGCCGACCTGGGGAAACTGGTTTAAAGGAGGGGGAGAGGAAATTTAAGAATTGCCAAAATTCAAAGATTAAGGAAAATGTGTCAAAATCTTGAAATGCAAACTTTTTTTGATGAAAAATCACCCTCACAAAAGCATTGCAAGCCGTGCTGGGATTTTTACAATTTACCTGTTGGAACCACTTTAGGGAAAATTTATAAAAGGGCGGGGTACAGGCCATATGGGGCGATAGTTGTGCGAAAGAAGCCAGTGACTCTGAAGCTGTCCTGTGGCA